GGGCCCCGCCCTGGCCCCAGGGGTGGGGGTAGGAATCCCAATTTTACAATTTTGAAGCCTCATCTACCAAGGATGATTCTGACCAAGTTTGAAAAAAATCCATCCACTGGTTTTTGAGAAGAAGTTGAAAATGTAAAAGTTTACGCACAACGCACGACGGACGACGGACGACGACGGACGAAAAGCGATTGGAATAGGTCACTTGAGCAAAGCTCAGGTGACCTAAAAAGCAGACTTGAAAAAATACATTAATGAATGTCATTTGCAATCAAATCAAATGCATTTTCGAAACTGTTTGCATACCTACCAAAATGTTTGCTTTCGACTAAGACGTCCTATTCGCTCAATACAACAAAGATATGAATGCAAAAATACCAAAAAAACACGGTGTTTAGCTGTTGTCAATGTAAATTATGGTTGGATTTCTACCGGAAGCTTAGAGTTATCTGCCCAGAGTTATCGTTCTTTTGTTTGAATGCACATTTCACAATTTCCTGTTTAGCTTGCAGCAAAATGTCAATTTGCTTTCGATAGTCTGTTCTAGAATGATCTTTTCTTGTCATTTCATTATCTTTACATCAGTTGCAGTATAAAAACCATTTGCTTATTTAGGTCCTTCCCGTTTATGATGACGTTAAAAACGAAGTAGGAATATCAGTTGAATTCAGTCCGTCACACTCGGTCCGGTCACACTTGTGTTTACAGTTCTGCGGTTACTGCATGTTATACCTACTGTTCATCAAGGCGCCTATTTATTTCTATAGCAATGTCTTCAGACGGAAATATAGATTTTCCTAGTTATGTTAAAATGGTAAGTATGTTAAGAGTGTGCCGTGACATCATTGACTCTGTTCACAAATTGACAAAGAGTGGATAAAATATACATAGGAAAACGTTATTTTTAAAGTAGTTTTTTTTTTACTATTATCACAGGCAAATGCGTCAGGCCGGATTACTGACCTGACGCATTTGCCTGTGCTATTAAGTAACAGGAGAGGAAAATGCACGGCCAGACCGGGGTTCGAATCCGGGACCTTCCGAACTCTAGACGGATGCTCAACCAATTGGGCATCTGGTCGCCGACGATCGACCCAGTCCAGTTTCGCTACAATTATAACAGTTTTTCAAAGTCTGTTTTAGCATCAACAACAAATAATTCACAAATCTTTTATTAAAAAAAATCATAAAAAACCCAATTCAAAACAGATCTATGTGCGTGCATGTAACTTAGGATTAAATTAAAATATGATAACAAAAAGCAAATATCTATGAAGGAATGTGAAAAAGAAATGCATTGATTTGGTTGCCTTATAAGCGTCAGCTGTAGGGAATTTCATTTAGCTCAGCAGTAGAGCATCAGGCTGGATAGCCAAGGGTGGTAGGTTCGAGCCCCAGCGATGGCACTTTCTTTATCACTATTTCTCATCCAATTACAAACTGGTGCCGTTGACCCTCCCCATTCAAGGTAAGAGAACCCTTGGTGGGGAGTCAAAGAACCTGGATTAGTGTTAGAAAAAAAGGGGTGAATAGAGTAAAAGAAGTGCATTGATTAGGTTGCCTTACAAGTGTCAGCTGTAAAGAATTTCCCTTTAACTCAGCAGTAGAGCATCAGGATGGAGAGTCAATGGTTGCGCGTTCGAGCCCCAGCGACGGCACTTGCTTTATCACTGTATTTCTCGTCCTATTACACTTGTGTCAGTCTTGGGACAAAAAGTACTGAGGCCCTGAACTGTCTCCATTGTGGTCATTTCTATGTTGCAGGTGCACACCAATCAGTTTTCATCATCAGGCATTTAAATTAAGTGTCTTTTAAAGGTTGAAATTTAATCAAATTAATTTACTTATTCCAGATACTGACAGATGAAATGAAGAGATGTGACAAAATTTTGAAGGATGAGGACTTGTATCACCTTCTAGATGAAGACAATGTTGACTCAAAGCAAAGGGAGACTATTCTAGGATATCCCTCGTTTCCATTATACAGGGACTTGGGGACTATGCTTAAATTGTGGATGGATAATAGGTTAGTACTTTTCGCCAAATAGACTCTGAGCTTTTTGTTGTACCAGGATGTTAGACTAAGTTACTGTAAATTGTGATTTCTTTAACGCCCTGTTAAATCTGATGCTGCCTCACCACTGCGACTGTCAAAAGTATCTCGCCGTGTAAAACCTCTAACACTGTTGGAGTACACTTAAGACATGCTGATACTGACAGTTTGGTGATCTTTAATTCATAGATGATATCTTGAAAATATTATTTACCATATATGGATAAAACTGGATAACTCTTTGATCTATTGGTACCTGGTTTGGAAATAGGTACTAGGGTTATGCTAGCTGTTGCTTTAATTAAAGAATAACAATTATACATGTATTTATGATAGAGAAGATATTTTGTTGATAGGAATACCAATTTTTATCTAATCTGACTTGAATTTTTATTGGATTATGGCTACAAAGTTATAAAGTTCAACTATACAATTTTTTTAATAGCTTTTTTTGTTGTTTGTTATATGTACAAAAATTAAATATGTATTTTGTCAATGCCATCAATATTTTAATGTTTAATTCATACTTAGTTTATCCTTTAGGTCCTGTCCAGTTTTGGATCTACCCAAATATGACCTTTTAGATGAAAATACATATGTTGAATCCAGGTAAAACACTTTTCATTAACCTCATTTTTTCTTTTTTTTAAATGACAGATTGCAAATGAAATCATTAATGTATCCATGACTGACACTTTACGTATTAAAAGAACCTATCGATTAATATGAAAGTGATTATGTATTAAAAGAACCTATCTATTAATATGAAAGTGATAACTGTTTATATACAGTATGTGACAAGCAAATAACAATGTGAAATCTGACTAATTTTATAATGATTTAATTACCTCCAAAAATAACATATGGTTTATGTTTTTGCCTGGAATGAACTCTTCTTTTCATTAAATGAAAGTAAGACATGGAAATCCTCAGAGAGGCTGTCAATGTTGATCCACTTAATTTTCAGGCTGGCTAGTTTCCAGGCCATAACACCATTACTGGATGGACTGAAGAGTCTATGGGACATCTGGGGTGTAGAGGAGAGGAAGTACCGGATCAGAGACATCTTGGTGGTATGTATATATATGTGTTTTAAAATTGACATATGGTCCTGTGTGTGTGTATGGGAGGGATAGGTATTTTGTGTTTTGGTGTAGAGGAGAGAAAATATAGAATCAGAGACATCTTGGTGGTATGTATATATATGTTTTAAAATTGAGTCAGAAGAGATATGACTAAGCTGAAAGCTAGTAAAGCTATTTCTGCAATACATTTTCAGGATATGACTGTTTAAAATTGGAACTTGCTATTGTGAAAGTAACAGGTCTAGTTTCTTCAAATTTCTTTCTTCTCTTTAAACAGTGGCAACTCTCAAAGCAACTTTTTCATGCTCTTTGGTTTTATTTCACAGACAGACATATAAATGTACAAACTACGTCGTGGATAAACAATTCCTTCATGATAGACTGCCCCAAAATAGACAGTATATAACGGTATACAATTGCTTTTAAGCTTTATTTAGAGGGCCAACACAAGACAGTGAGGGTTCATTTCACTGCTGCTGTGAAATGGGTCGGCTGTCCAACCACACTGTTTTTTTCTTGGTACTCCTGTATTCTGGGTGGTACTCCTGTTTTCTGGGTACCCCTGTTTTCTTTGTACTCCTGTTTTCTGGGTACTCCTGTTTTCTGGGTACTCCTGTTTTCTTTGTACTCCTGTTTTCTGGGTACTCCTGTTTTCTTTGTACTCCTGTTTTCTGGGTACTCCTGTTTTCTTTGTACTCCTGTTTTCTGGGTACTCCTGTTTTCTGGGTACTCCTGTTCTCCTGTTTTCTGGGTACTCCTGTTTTCTGGGTACTCCTGTTTTCTTTGTACTCCTGTTTTCTGGGTACTCCTGTTTTCTTTGTACTCCTGTTTTCTGGGTACTCCTGTTTTCTTTGTACTCCTGTTTTCTGGGTACTCCTGTTTTCTTTGTACTCCTGTTTTCTGGGTACTCCTGTTTTCTTTGTACTCCTGTTTTCTGGGTACTCCTGTTTTCTGGGTACTCCTGTTCTCCTGTTTTCTGGGTACTCCTGTTTTCTGGGTACTCCTGTTTTCTTTGTACTCCTGTTTTCTGGGTACTCCTGTTTTCTTGGTACTCCTGTTTTCTGGGTACTCCTGTTTTCTGGGTACTCCTGTTTTCTTTGTACTCCTGTTTTCTGGGTACTCCTGTTTTCTGTGTACTCCTGTTTTCTGGGTACTCCTGTTTTCTAGGTACTCCTGTTTTCTGTGTACTCCTGTTTTCTGGTACTCCTGTTTTCTGGGTACTCCTGTTTTCTGTGTACTCCTGTTTTCTGGGTACTCCTGTTTTCTAGGTACTCCTGTTTTCTGGTACTCCTGTTTTCTGGGTACTCCTGTTTTCTGTGTACTCCTGTTTTACTCCTGTTTTCTAGGTACTCCTGTTTTCTGGGTACTCCTGTTTTCTGGGTAATCCTGTTTTCTCCCACATTGAAGACATTAACCTGGTTGCTTCCATCGGGGCCAATAAGAGTGTTAAATATTAGATAATAAAAGTTGTTTCATAATTGTTGAATAATAAATAAAGTTTAAAATTGCAAAGCAATATACAGACTACTGGGTTATCAGTTAGCTGGAGGCTTATATAACCTGGCTTTATTTGTAGACATTGGGAAAGAGAGGATTGATGGACTTATTTGGTATAAGAAATACCGTTGGAACCCGGGAAATATTTCCACCTCCAAGAAAAGTTCTAGAGGAAGCATTCACAAAGAAACACTCGTAAGTAAAGAAAAACATGGACAACCTCAGACAATTGTAAATTCATTCAGTTTCAAATAAAAAAGAAAGTACTTTTTCATGTCTTTTATTTCTGTGTACCAGTTTATTTGTAATTAAGATACTTTTATCCCCACCTGCCTCACATCAAAGTTTTGTAATGTTTACTATTATTATAAAATATCAAAGTGACATGACAAGCAAAGATAATGAGTCATTTATCATTAGTTCAGACATCACTGGTCCAGTTGTCGTACTCAGCCATTGCTTTGGAGAACAGTTCTGTTTTTTAAAGCAATTTCCCTCCAATATTCAAGCCAGGTGGAGATTTCAAATGAGAGGGAGGTGGATGCTGTTGGTTCCTAGTAACAGCAAAAAATGGTTAACATTGTAGCACATCTAATAAGAATGAGGTTAAAAGTGACAATAAAATCTCAGATATTTGAAATTTGCAGATCTGCGAGTCGTCGAAAGCTTTTCACTATCCAGCTTCTTACCTTGAATGGAAGGTGACTGAACCAACTTAAAACCCAATGTGCAACACATTCCATCATTATTGATCAGTACCGTTACAATGTTTGTTCTAGAGCCAGTGCTGAGCTGTCTGTGGGAGCGAGGGCCTTGGCTAAGCACCATCATCGGGATCAGACTGACTCCTGGTGGGGCAACTGCACTGGAAGTAAGTCTCCTGTCATGGACTGGAACAAAAATACTGTCTTTGGCCAAATTTTTGTCAAAAAATACATGAGTGTACATCTGCATTTTCAGTTTAGTCAAATTGAATATAAAAACATTAATTTATAGTATATTAAGATAAATTGGTAATTTTCTACAATGCATCTATCAAATTCCTATAACTTCTACTTAAGGATTTAAACAAAATTTATGTTTTTTGCATTAAAGTATTTCATTTGAACTGAAACAAAATGATGCCACACAATTCAGAATCATTCTTTTCTTCCAGATGAGAGTGCAAAGAACAAGAATGCCCTAGATAAAATGAATAAAGTGTTGGACAATGCTACCTGGATCAATATCCACTGGCTTCCTGTGAGTAGATATTTCACACCTGTACAGACACTTTCATACCTATGTAGACCACATTGTACCTGTACCGGCCATGTCATACCTGTGCATGTGTAGACCACATTGTACCTATAATACCGGCCGTGTCATATCTGTGTAGGTCATATCATACCTGTGTAAGCCATTTCATACCTGTGTTGACCATATCAAACCTTTGTAAGCCTTATCATACCCCTGCGTAGGCTATATCATACCTGTGTAGGTTACCTCATACCTATGTAGGTCATATACTTGACTGTGTAGTTCATATCATACCTGTTGATCCACTTAATTTTCTGTGTTGACCATATCAAACCTTTGTAAGCCTTATCATACCCCTGCGTAGGCTATATCATACCTGTGTAGGTTACCTCATCCCTATGTAGGTCATATACTTGACTGTGTAGTTCATATCATACCTGTGTAAGCCATTTCATACCTGTGTTGACCATATCAAACCTGTGTAAGCCTCATACCTGTGTAGGTTGCCTCATACCTATGTAGGTCATATACTTGACTGTGTAGTTCATATTATACCTGTGTAAGCAATTTCGTACCTGTGTTGACCATATCAAACCTTTGTAAGCCTCATACCTGTGTAGGTTACCTCATGCCTATGTAGGTCATATACTTGACTGTATAGTTCATATCAAACCTGTGTAAGCCTTACCATACCCCTGCGTAGGCTATCTCACTCATACCTGTGTAGACTATCGGGTATATCCTGCCTGTGTAGACCATATCATATGACATATGTAGATCATGTTATACCTGTGTAGTTCATACAATACCTAATATTAGATGTTTCATATTTTGTGAGCTGTTACTCACATTGTAATGCGCACCCAGTAGATCTTAATATAACGCAAGTCAAACAATAGTTATCTATATACAGGTCTGGTCAAGCCAACTATATTTAAACTATGTAGATGTATAGGTCTAAGCATTGATGGTCAGATTACTGGTAATAGTACTTATGTATATCAAACTATGGTATTCTTATGATACCCTGCATAGTGTCATGAGCTGTTGAATGTTAATACAGTTGTTATATAATTGCTTTACAACGTATGAAACAAAACACACACACTCAAAAAATTCAATATTTTCATTGCCTTGCAGCAAGACGTCATCATTTTGGAAGTTAGACATGGAGAGGGTAACTATAGATTTTTTCACTAACAAGTATTGTTACAGATACTTTGACTGTTACACCAGTACTTACTTGTATAGTATTAAAGCCTTTTATTATATGTCATTTTTTTAAGCAAAGCTTTTTCTGTTGTAAATATTGTACATTTTATGTCGACCACATGTGAGACGAGTCATTGACTCAATGTGTTATCGAATTTAAATAAAGTCTATTATTATTTATTATTATTATTATTATTATTAAAGCACCAAGAATTTGGTCCTGTGAATCCATCTACCACCCACTGCTTTCAACCATTATAATAATAAACTGTATCCTCAATAAATAAAGTTTATTATTATAATGATTGAAAGCAGTGGGTGGTAGATGGATTCACAGGACCAAATTCTTGGTGCTTTGCTTAAAAAATGACATATAATAAAAGGTTTTAATACTATACAAGTAATTGGTTTAAATATTTTTGTTGGAAGAGCAAATTCTGATGTTATCTGTTCATAATATGAAGTGGGGGCAGAATTGATCCATAGATATTCATCATTGTAAAATGCAATAATTTGGATTAGCTTTCAGATTTCTTTTTAATAATTGTTGTAATGATTACTTTAATGATGATATACATGTACCTGGTATAGACTAACATTCCTTAAATGAAGATGACTTGTACTATTGCTATCATGCAGTTGTTTAAGATAGCATTGGCCTTGTTTGTATTTTCAAGGTTACGGTGCAAGATGGAATCCTGATGGCAAGGAGTTCCGCGGATTCCTGGAGCCTCAGATGGTGGATGGTCACATTGTTGGTTGGAAACATTGATGTCTGATTAGGACTGTTCATTAAACATTAGAGTTTGAATAGGATCAGTTGAAGACAGCTTTGTTATAGTTGTCTCCCAATTGGGGTAAAAGCAACTCCACAATGGAGGTCCCCATCCTTGGGGAAAGACAGCTGTGCTGTGAAGGGTCCCACCCTAGAGTTAAGTCAACCATCTCCTGGAGAAAGGAAACTCTGTAATGGAGGCTCACCAATCAGTGAAGGGCATTTCTGTTATGGAAACCTATCTTACATGCAAAGGGTAAAAACAATTCTGTAATAGAGGGCTTACTGTCGAGGAGAAAGGGGGACCCTCAATAATGAAGCTCCTGGAATTTCTGCCCCATCCCCAAGCTAGGGCGGGGCCCCAAAGGGAACATTTACCAATATTTTAAAATTCCTTTGATGACATGACAAGTATTGTATTTCACTTAGTTTACATGCTGATTTTCATATAACTCAGGTGACCGCTAAGGCCCTTGGGCCTCTTGTTCACAATATTTACACATAGGCTGAGTACAAAAATAGACTACATGAAAAGCTAGCTTTTGTTGTGTAGACACAGATTTGTAAATGGCCAAAAATGGAGTCTCAAACCAAATTCGATTATTTTATTTTTAAATGTGAATCCTACATCCCACTTCATCATATATATGCCAATTTAAGTGCTGAATTTGTTTTTAAGTTTTGATACATGTAATATTACAGGGGTTATTCATTGTACAAAAATATCACCCTTGGCCACCGTATGCTCCTGTACACTGCTACCAAAAAAACACCAACAAAAATAAGAGGGTGTGTGTGGCCACAAGTTTTTGAGAGCAAGAACAGTTTCAGTGTGCCTACATACAGAATAACTCTTATAATTTTTCAAATGACTCAAAAACAGTGCATGTTCCTGCCTTGTGCACAATGATACTGTACAACTCTTAAAACATGCAACCAAGGACACCCGTAATATCCCTAGGGAGAAAAAAAAATGAATTAAGGGAGAAAAAAAAATGTTACGAATTAAAAAGAAAATAATCCTATCTTCCTGAAAAAAATCTGCAATGCTTAAAAGTTCAGCTGTGTGTTATTTCCATACCTAATGTCCCTTAAAAACCAAGGGTAATTAATATGAACAGAATAATGGTTGACCTACCTTTGACTGAGGGGATACTTGATTTTTTGGACTTGGCGATGAGGTATGGATGGGGGGCTGTATTTCCTGTTGTCTGGCTAGGAGCAGTTTTGGGTGTCTCTTTCAGTCTTCAGAAAAGAGAAAACAACAGCAATTTCTAGTGTGTATGTATGATATACCAGCTATGAATATGTGAAATTGTATAGGTAAAATTCACATTGTCTATGTTAACATGACAAAAAAGTTGGAATCCAAAGTTATATCAGGTTACACAAAATGCAATATAACTTGCACCTGATTTTAGGTTGTCAGGCACCTAAGAGGACCAGTTGTAACTTTACATCTTTGACAGCATGCTCTTAGTTCAGGAAAACAGAGTGCTTTTCACTCACAGCTACCCAGCTACGAATATATGCACACAGCTTGGCATACTTCGGTAATTGTTAGTATATAATACATGCACTGTATAATACTAGGGCAGAAAACTCCAGGTAATTATTACTTAATAAGGATGCCCTTTCTCTCTATTACCCGCACCCTTTGCCCTTATTACATAAAATAAGGTATACATAACATCACTTGTCTGTTAATTGTAATTGTTGAGCACAAATCATCATCATACCAGTATTTTTGTACAATTTGTATTAGCAGTTTTTACAATTGTATACATGTATTTCCATGTAAATATGATCATAGTGATGATATGACAAAGTGTCTTCTACATATTTGATCAGTTAATTTTAAAAAAAGGCTTTATTTTCACCAAAAAAAATAAAAGTTTTCATGTTTAAGTTGTTCTTTACATTTATGGGGAAAAAAAGCGTTCACTTTCAGAAATCTCCTAAAGTGAATGGTTTTATTATCAGGGTGCCTTGTCTAATTGTGATAGAATGTGGCTGATGAATGTGATTATAATTTGTTTTGTTAACAATCTACCATATCTAAAATTGGAATAAAAATTGCCATTTTATTTAAATATATTGTATACATGCTGTATGTATATAAACAGCAAGTGAATAAAAGTTAAATTTACAACATTGTGGTTATTTCTTTATTTTGTGATAGAAATTGAGCAAAACCATAGATAATTAATTACATGTTGCATATTGCACTCTGATTGGTCATCAGTTTCTGAACATTAACTAAATCAATTATGACTATTTCCTGATGAAACTTTAGAAAATACACTTTATACAAATGTAAAGTGCAAACTTCATCACAATTATGTTAATCAGTGAATCTGCTCATAATTAGTTAGCATATTCTGCACTCCGATTTGTCAATGGTTTTTCTTATAATACTTAATCAAATATGACTAGATATGACTGAGATTATTTGTTTGTTCAGGATTTAAACTATATAAATGCAAAGGCTCAGCTGAAGTTTGAGCGAAATGTGCCTCCGTAATTAAAAAGCACTCGGGCATTTTTTGTATGGTGCCAGATCAGGCAGAACTCCTCAGGGCTTGTTCCTCACAAACTTATGATTAAATGTAGTGGAGTCACCCGAGGTTTACCAATTGGGTGCAAGATGGGTATAGGGAGTCAATGCCTAAGCAATTCCTTTTTTTTTTTTTTGAAAAAATTGCCAAGGGAGACAATTCCTATAATTGATATCTCTTCTCTTACACATTCCATAAATAATTCAACTTTGCTGTAATTTTATGTTATCTCTTTTTGTTACATTTCAATGTTTCATACATTTCAATTCAAGTATAGAATGTATTGGAAGGATCGTAAGGACTCAGTTTTGCATACGCGTATCCCGTTTGAACCGGTACGTGTGGCGCAGAAATATTCTACAATAAACGAACGCACTTGGACAGTTCTATAAGCAGAGCTAAAATTGCACAGTTTCGGAGAATAAAAAACAGTGTATCAAGAATAGTATGCCCTACTTTCATGTGTCCACTTGACATTGTTTGAGAAAGAAATAACGCAAACTAGCAAAAGTCAGCATTTTAGTTTGAGTCGGGTACGTCTGGACCCCTCAATTTACACGTGCCAAAATTTCCTGAGGTCAGCCTTGGTCCAAATCTGTGCCTGTCGTTTTCTTTACAGGTTCAACCGTTTCAACCGGATACACGAAAGTACCCCTAGATATCACGAGTAAACCTGTAACCCATACACCCAGGGATCCATAACTGATTAACACTGTTACACTTGGCAATTTACTCAGTTCTATTCTTTTACGAATATATGCGTACTGTAATGGTTCCAGGGGAAAAGTTAAAAAAAATGAGCCCATCATCATCAGATAAGGGCTGATCAAATCGCCCTTCGTCCCTGGTCCACCCATTCTTAAACAATTCTATTTCACACAAAAAATACTGAACAGACACAAAGTTATTTCATTTTCACTATTGTTATCGCTATTTCTCAAGGAGTTATATAGATCTACATACATGATAAATAATTCTTAAATCTCTCAAAATCCAAGATGGTTGCTTGCCTGAGGCAGTCATCTTTATTTCTGTCTCAAAATGAAAATGCACAGCTATATGGACCAATGGAAACCACATATGAAATTTGAGAAAGAAATGTCAAGTACTTCTTGAAAAAAAGTGATAGGCCTAGCAAACTTAAACTGTCATAATCCAAGATGGCTTCATGTCGGTCATTTTGTTTTCTGATCAGTTCCGAAATGAAACATGTACAATTTTTAAAGGATCAAGGGGGAATTCACATATATTATGAAATATAAGAAGATCTGTCACATAATTCATGAGAAATTGTGATATCAAATTTGAACTATTCAAATCCTAAATGGCTGCCATCTTGTTTTTCTGATTAGTCTCAAAATAAAACCTGCACAACTATAGAAACCGAGGGACGGACGACGGGGCATTTTAACATAAGTACTACCCTCCTCTATCAATATATCTATAGTTTATATTAACTTTTTGGTGTACTATTGATAGCCTAACATAAGTACTACCCCTTCTCTATCAATATATCTATAGTTTATATTAACTTATTGGTGTACTATTGATAGCCTAACATAAGTACTACCCTCCTCTATCAATATATCTATAGTTTATTTTAACTTATTGGTGTATTATTGACAGCCTAACATAAGTACTACCCTCCTCTATCAATATATCTATAGTTTATATTAACTTATTGGTGTACTATTGATAGCCTAACATAAGTACTACCCTCCTCTATCAATATATCTATAGTTTATATTAACTTATTGGTGTATTATTGATAGCCTAACATAAGTACTACCCTCCTCTATCAATATATCTATAGTTTATATTAACTTATTGGTGTATTATTGATAGCCTGAAGGCTCTACCTATGGTTTAATATTACTGCAATGACACCCTCTGATGATATGGTGGCCTGATAATGACATTTTTTCTGACAGGCTCATACTTATTTTTTTTGTTCGTGCTTTGTAGATGCTTAAATAAAATGGTTGAATATTTGCCATGTCTTTTGGTTGTCTTTACAAACAATATCTAATACACATGTTTTATGTTTATTTTGTTTTTTGAAATTCGCGCCATTTTTACTATTCCGTTACAAACAAACGCTTGTAACGCACACTGGTGGAAGCGTCAATAGTAACTTGATGACGAAACTTCTAATCGCCACGTCGCCGTAAGCTATGAGATGACGATGTTGTTACAAGGATACTGATATATTTCAGGTAAATATGCTAACTGGTTCTCGAAGTAATTCTTAATAGAAAGCTAGGCCAGGCAGTGAGCAATAACTGTGATGGGCTTACACTGACCTTATAGTGTGTTGGCCGCCGTTGTACCACTTGCATCAGCAGTGGCAGCAATTTCTGACCAGCGTTTGTTTACAACGCGAACAGTCACTGCTGATAGCTAGGCATACCTGTGGTGACGGTAACTACGAATTGGCCGTTTTTTCTATCATTATTTCATAGATCAACTCCTGATTATCCGTCATGGTTTGAAAAGCACACTGTACAAAAATTACACACTTCCTTTACGTAGTCCACTGTCCATTAACACATCCAGTACATATATCCGGGGTACACTGTAAAGACGGCTCCTTCTCTAACCTATCCCCCTCTTCTACTCTTTACGACATAGTTTATCCCTTCTACTCATTTTCCTTTCTGTTCTTCGTCTGCTGGATAACCGAACTACTCGGTAGCGAAGCGGACGTAAAACCTATCAATCAATATAAAGACATACACAGTATGGTCTTACAAGTTACATTGAGTACATTGTAACAATACAAACTATTTGTCTATTAGGCCTTATACATTTATGATTTATAATGATTATATACCTTCATGTTCACATTTAATAGTGTTGACATGTGGATGTTATTTAAAACACTGTCAGTAACAAACAAAATCAAACGTTTTATGTCATTTCTGTGCACGAAGAGTCAAACAAAATCATGCCACAATGATTAGCTACAGGATCAGGCCAAACCCCAGGGACTTATAATTAGTACAACATGAAAATGATCGTGATCCTCCAACTTTCACCCAATTTCCCATGGCCATGAAGCATGGCCGTGGGCCTGGGAATTAATTAATGGTTACAGTGTATTTAAAGGAAGAGTTTAGCATTGTAGCTCCATAATGGTGGCTGATCCAAAAGAGGGCCTTATTAATTTGGGTATATAAATGTTTTAAAACCCTACTCCTCCAGAACACTTGCATTGATGTTCCAATAAAAAATTATTTTCTATGAAGCATTTTTAAGGACTTGAACTAGAGAATCGTCTCTTTTATAAAAGGATTGAATGTGTTGTCTTAAATCTGGATAATGAGCCAAAAATAAGAATATTTTGCAAGGGACAGGTACAATGTATTATGATCCATATGCTTCATATGGGTCCTTGTGACCTTTTGTTTAGCTGTTAAATATCCTTTGACTCATTGTTTGGAAATGTTTTTATTTAGAATAGTATTTTCTTTCATCAGAAATTGTATTGTTTTCATCATCAGAACTTACTCTCTCTCTCATATCCATGGTTGTTGCTATCCTGATTTTTGTTAGTGTTTTAAAAAGATGTTGAATTGGATTTCTATTTGGATTGTTCTCTTACATTGTGAATTCTTGTTTAAAGTATTCAAGAATGCTTTTTAGAGCTGAGGTAGTTTTTCACACAGTTTTCTTTAAATTATTTTTAACTTTTATTAATTCATTTCTTGTACTCTATAATTTTTTCATCTGTTCTATTCGATGCATGTTAATCTGTAATTTTTTATTGAATCATAGTTTCTGTTTTGGAACTTTTTGATAACTTAATTGACTTTGTAGCAAAAATAGCAATTGTCATCACATGTGGTTCTAAACAGTAAAGACAGTTCATTGTTAGTTAGTTGTTTATTTGATTAAGTTTAAGCTACCAGGTAATTGCAATCACTTCACAATGATATCCAAATCTTGTAAATCTCTATTAATAAGATCAGGTGAAAGTGAGAATGTAATTGAGATAGAATTAGTCCCATTTGACAAAAAACATTATTTATTTCAAATTTTCATGTAAGTATTTAATTTTGTTAACATTCTAAAATGACCAAAAAAGTAAGTCACCAGGTACCAAACTTGAGTATATACATGGTGTATATATACGTTGTATATGTATTATGTGGAATTATCACCAGTGAACGTGCTGTTTGCATGTATGTCAAGAATTTGGACCAGGAGGCACCATTAAGGAAGCAAAAGTAAATATTTATAAAAGCAGATATTAATCTTTGAAGTTGTATATTGTCTATTTAATATGTTAAACCAAACCTGAAAAACAACATCAGTAGCTAGCTATGGGTAAAGGAAACAGGATTTGTTTAAATGGTCAAGCTGGTTAACTAGGAATGACTTGAGAAATTTACAAAACATTTTTCCAGTTCTGTAAATGTCTGGGGTTGTTTAATTCTTTCTTGTATAGCATGGTCTGTATATGAAGATTTAATATTTGACTATATAACACTACAACAGTTTTGTTAGCATCTATTTATTCTTACCGAATGACATTGAATAACTTAATTCTTTTGGAAGGACATTTAGTGATTGGTATACAGAAATATGATATTATTACCCTTGCTTGAAACAATGTTGTGTTAATGAAAGTTATAATGACAGTCCTAGGTAATTAGATATATAACTTGATTCATGCATAATTACTATAATAGATTCATCCATGTAAATCTGTAGTAATTATTCACCTGTCTTGTAATTACAATATATACTGTCAAGATCTCGGTCGTTAACGTATGATACATGTAGGATTCATCTTGTCTTAAAAAAGGATCAGCTAAATGTAAGTCGTTCTGAATGTTGCGACTGGAGCCTGTTGCCAATTAGCTAAACCTGAAGTAATAAGAGTCTGATAATGTGAAGGTGTGACAGACAGGATATATATGGTAAACTTCAATTTTTTTTTTCATTATTTGAACCTCTTTCATTTTCCAGTCTCTATGAAAATTAATTTGATTTTGTTAACACTTTAATATGTTGACACTTTAATATGTCAACATATTATGAGGTGTATGTCTATATATAGATACATTTTGTATAATCTTTATAGGAATATGAATTATTCATACATCTGTCATGTAAACATAAATCAATGGTAGGATACCTTTTCACAGCCAGCTAAAGATAAACAATACATGTACACGTATTATGCTTCGTGATGATTCAGCTTGTTACTTGTGTAGCATGAACTTACATGTAAATGTCTACAGTCTAACATTCATCCAAACTTCTTGCATGTGGTTATCAACATTTTTTTATGTTATGGATCACATTAATTATTAAGTCTTGTACGAACTACCAGGGTGAGCTTTCCAGGTGGTGTTTCATCAGTCGTCTGTCCATTAAGCATCTAAACCCAAACTGAAGAGTAAATATTCACCTAAAGTTTGGTGCTAACATCTTTAGCCCAGAGGGATCAGAACTTATAGTTATCTAATTGATATGTCATTTTAGGTTTATGTATTTAATGTCTATTTTAGATATCTAAATGACCTTTTAATGTGAAGAAAATTACCAGTTGTGTCAGACATGAGATAAACAGCTGAAGACTACCCACTAAAGTTTTCATGGAAATAAATAAATAATTATGATGTCTTGTCTTCAAATTGCAGTTTATCATAGAATTCAATTATCATACAGAGTGACAAATAATATTTTAATTGTGAATTTAAAGTTACAAATTAAAAGACTCCCAATCTTATACTCTATCTTACTCCAATGAACATGGAAGATATTCTGGTCAATTTTATGCATGACTGGTATAGAATTCACTTATTGCTACAATTTATTTGCATGTCTGTTGCGAATGACGCCATATTGGTGTTCATGATCAATGAATTTTAGCTACAGTACATTGTAAATGTATTTTCTCCATTTATATTTTAGTATTTCATATGTAATTAACTGTATTTTGTTTCTATTTCAGTTTAAGAACTATAACCATGTTGTAAATGTGATGGTAAATATCCCATCTCTGACTGTGCTGTCTTGAGTATAAAATTCTTGCTAATTGTTTTCTCTGCTTTTCACTAATCACTTTCCTCTGTGTACAGTGTCTCAAATTTCTTGTTTTCAAAATTTAAAGTTTGCCTCCAAAGTTCAGACCCATACTTGACTAAAAAAAATGAGTTTAGGTACAGTAAGTACATGTACCAAACTAAACAGAAATGATTTAGGCATTAATACTACTAGGCCAAGAAGGTGGTCTTATATGCTGTGGCAAGGCGTCTATTGTTCATCCATCGACAGGACTGTCACTCTTCCCTTCTAACCTTGAATATCTGAAAATCTCTAGTAGTCTTGAACGGCTGTGTAGAATTTGGGCGAGATGAGTTGTATAAACACATGGTGTTTTTCTACATAGATGAAGTGAAATGTGTAAGGCGAAACCCAATGTTAGTCTGGTGTTGGGAATTACTCCAAATTTCATGATCGATCATTACTTTTGGTTTTAAATTGATGCCTGATTAATGATAATTGTTTTGTTTATAATGGAAATACGGTGGTAATTAGTATTAGTGTACTGCAATTAAAAGATAAAGGGGTCAGTCTTGTTCTTTGTGACAGCCTGCATAACCCAAATATATACATTGTATGAAGTTATTGACTTCCAAACTTTTTAATAATAAAGTAGCTATATATAGGCAAAAATGACTCAACAATATTAACAAAGGAAGGAAAATGTTATAAATAACCCAGGCAGTATATGGTATTGATTGTTATGTCATTGGTTTATGTGAGAAAATTACGTTGTTTTCTCAAAAATTGATGACGTTACTCTCGCAAACCAATGACGTAACAATCAACAGCTGCTCACAAGAGCAGATAACTCTGCAATACGCAAAGACGGAATATACCAGGTATACACGTATAACCATACAATACACATCAAAATGTACTATGAAGCATGCTTGGTATCTTGGAATCATGTAAAGAGGAAGACTAATAGTGTAGCTCCCTCTGGAGCTGAGGGGCCCAGAAAGATGTACAGGGGCACAAGGTTAGTTTGGTCGTCTTTAAAAGTCTTTAAACGTCTTCTCTTCCTGATCAGTTAATCAAAATTCCAATACATTTGCAATGAAGCATCCGTGGGACAAGGAAATCAAATGTTTTATATCCCAAGCGAGGGTGATTAGAGGTAGAGTCCAAAATGGGAATATATTAGAAATAATATTACTTTTAATAAGAATGTTTTGCCATGATTGCTTAGATAATTATACACAGGTGAGTGATACAGGCCCTCTGATCATATTTTCACACTTTTAATGAAATGATCATGATCATGAAGTGGAATTTTATGATTTTTACTTTCATTGATATTTATATGTAGGACTAATAAAATATCTAAATGTGTATTGACCAATTTAACTGAAAAGATGCAAGGCTCGTATTTTTAATAGCATTTTATTGAAGTTAACAAAAAACTGATTTTTTTTTTTTTAATCTTTATTTACTATGGCAAAACCATCAATTTAGTAAAATGTTTAAGGGATATGTAGATTCCACTTTAAACTTGAGTTTGATGAAATACATGATGTTACAGTCAAAATCAAATTATATACACACTGATATAATATGAACATTCATACCCGGTAGAATACACGTACGTAATGCACTCTTTATCGTGACGGGTGGCCATCCCCATCTCACTGCAAATTCATGTTTAGTATGCATAACATGAATTGTTTATGGTGCATTAACAGCAAGATAACTTCTTTCTAAATGGTATATCATTTTATTTTTCTTTTGAGTAGTTTTAGCTTACATTCTAATTTTTCCTGAATTTGAGATACTGGTAAATAATTTCTTGTATTGATATAACATCTAAACTTGTGTATCATATTTATTCTGGGACTTTGATTCACACTCTATTTATCTGAAAAATTTCAAATTATAAATCTTTAGTTTTAACTTTATAACTGTATATCATTGAGTTTTTCTCCTATTATATTGTATTAGTATTAACATCTCTTTTTCTCACAATACTGTATACCATGAAAACTTTCGCCCAGTCAAATTTTCGCCTTCTCATAAAAAATTGTATGTATATTATTCGTCTACTAATATATGCAGTAATGATAAATTCGCCCTCATTACAGAGGATGAAAAAGGTGAAAATTAAACTGCAGCCAAAATTTCCCGGGATACAGTATCACAAGTGGTGAAAGTCTCCATTGAATTTGACTTGTCATACAAACTGAAGCCTGATCATCAAAGATGACTGATAATTTCCAGAAAATAACAATCACAGCAAATAATCATATATTGTTGCTTCCCTTCTTTTTAAAATCATTTGCTCCCTAAGTTGTCGGATTAATTACAAGGCAGTGCCATTGAGCAAATGGCAAGATACATGTTGTTGCTTTTTATGGCCCCGCCATAAAATGCGGGGCTATAGTGTTGCCCATGTCCGTCCCGTCCCGATTCAATGTAAACACTTAGCAACTTCATTCTTCGACAGATTTTGGTCAAACTTTATACAAAGGTCAAGTATGAGTATACTTCGGACATCGTTGTGTTTCAGGGATCCAAGGTTAAGGTCAAGGTCACACTTGCTATTTATAGAAAATCATCAACTGATTCAATTTACTAGTAAACACTTAGCAACTTCATTCTTTCATGGATTTTGGTCAAACTTTATGCAAAGGCAAGTATGATTATACTTCAGACATTGTTGTGTTTCAGGGGTCCAAGGTCAAGGCCACTGTTGCTATATATAGAAAATCATCAACAGATTCAATTTAAACACTGAGCAACTTCATTCAATATGTTATCGAGATGGTAATAACATACAGAAAAAACAAATGAATGTTAATAACATACAGAAAAAACAAATGAATATTAAAATCAACTTATCAACTTTAAGTGTAGTACCTTGTGTGTGTGCATGTTTCAGGGTATCAAGATCAAAGTGGTTGTAACTTTTTATAGAACGCTGAAACTCATTTCACATGGCAGGGGGGGCATTTATGTCTTGCAGACATTTTAGACACCTCATTTTTGTTTCTTTTTGCTGTAATGTTGCCTTTCTTGATAATGACCTCTGAATCAAAAGGCCTGGTAAACATCCATCCATGTAACATCATGAACATCTTTGTATTTGGTTGTACTCAATTTAGATTGTCATTTAATCGCATCAAATTACATATTTTGATAGCAAGATTCAGGTTTCCCAGAGTCCAATACTGCCAAAAACTAAATTCCAATTGACAATCTTGGGAAGCTAACAACAAAAGCTAGGCATGGTGGCATGGGAAAACACAGATGTAGGCCTATAGAAGATCTAGAAGCCTTTTGTATGATTTGGATTGATTCAGAGGTTAATTACAAAAATAAGGCATAACAAAAAAATATTTGGTGTTTCTGGTAACCCTATAGATACCTGCCCTACTTTTTTGTGCCTACCCTAAACTTTTTAAGGCAATTTTCAAAGAAGCACTATTGAAGTCATGATCACTACTATATAAACCATTTAAAATTATTTGTTAAAATATAAAAATTAAGTATCTACCTACCCAAATTTTTGCGACATGTTACAGGAAACACATATTTTTTTGCCTGGCCTTATACAAAAACACCCCAGAAAAACACCAGCAAATCATTATTACCTTATTCTGTTTTGTTACTCAGCTATTTTTTAACCAGTATTTATTGCTGTAACATATATACTGAACAAAAAAAGAAACGCACAAAGTTCCCCCATGATGACACGAGTGACGTCCCCCTGATGACACGAGTGACGTCCCCCTGATGACACGAGTGACGTCACACAGACTTTTCTTCTACAGTTTTGTATCATATTGATATAAAATTTTGTACAAATTTCCCAAAATATCATAGGCTATCGATTGCATAATTTAATTGTGCGTTTCTTTTTTTGTTCAATATATATATAGCTCACAGTGTGTCGGGGCCTTCACTAAGTGCAGTATAATCTACATTTGTGTATACGTAACATATGTAACCACCACCACCGGGTGTCAGCTGGCTTTTAATGTGTTGCTTCTGTTGTTTTGTTGTATTTGATCGATCACTGCAATTTCTGATGTGTAATTATGTATATTGTACCAAATAACACTTGCCATACACCTTTCTAACACATTGAAAAATGAATTGACAAACTGTAAGTGTTATCATTTTGCTTTGTATATTATATATAGTACTTTAGAATTTTTTCGACTCCATTACAAATGACTACATGTTAAAATTTAACTGAAAAGTTATTTTGTTTTCATTGATGAATATAAAACAGTATACAATTATCGTGTCATTGTGTTGCAAACTATAAACGACATAACTTGCTCACTGTAGCTGATGCTTTGGTTTTTGTGAAACTTCCTTTATTTCTTCACTCTAATTAAATTTTAATTTGGATCCATAATTCTGAAATGCTGCCTGTGGGTATCTTGTATTCATATACATTGTAGATGTGTTTTTTTCATAGAAATTATCTGATTTTGATAAAACCAGCCTGGTATACTTTCTACTAAAGTACCATATATGCATGCTCATAGTAGATGCTCAGCTAAATTCATACATGTTCATCGAGGCTGCTGCGACCCAATTGGCTGATTGATTCTAGAATTAATTTTGGAAGGAATTATAAAATTGTACCAAGGTCTGTTAGCCAGTAGTACTTCACCATAACAGTTTGTGGTATTTCAATTCATCAAAACTTTTTTATATATATATAAAATTGAAGTGTGTTTAATTTTAAAAATGTAGTACATTATGCTTTTATGCAATGAAAATGTTGTTTTCAAATGATTCATACATTGTAGCTTCTGACATTCTGACAGCCTATATTTTAACATCAGATTTATTGCTTTAGTCAAGACGAACTGTTTCACACATCATTAAATAATCTGTCTCAAGACCAAATCCATTCATCACTCCATAAAATAAAATAATCAAGATTCAGTCCTTAAATATATTGCATATATTTCTTTCATTATTGGTTACTTGCAATCAGCCGTTATTCTGCCTAACCTCGAACAGGGGACACATCCACAAACATGGAATTCCTGTTTAAATTTGCGTATACAGCTTTTTGTTTACTGAAATACCGGTAGTGTCGTTCATGACCTTTACTTTTACAGAATGTTACCATTATGATTCTTTGTACTTTAAGGAAGCAGGTATTGATGATGAAAAATCTATAGAGGCTGATTCTAAATTTGAGACTGAGGAGCGGCAGTCTGGCCCAAACATGGCAGTCAGCAACCTCCCGCATGTCATCAACCTCAGCAACAGTATCATTGGTGTCACCATCCTGGCTATGCCCTTCTGTTTTAAACAGGTGAGATTGATGTTATCCTCCTTCTTTTCCCTTCAGTTTCTTCTCTTTAAGCAAGTGAATACGTCTACTCTACAACTTCACACAGTCTTGAAACTTAGCATGCATGCAAACACATATTCAAGAGTACTACACGATTATGTGACACATAGCTAGGTCACTGTGACCTATATTTTTTGTTTCACAGACGTTCTAACTTTGTGTTTAGATCAGACTTTATATCTACATGCATGTTCTTCTTGTAGAGTACTACAAAATCATATGACATGTCTAGGTCACTGTGACCTATATTTTTCCCTTCACTGACTCTCTTACACAGGCAAATTTTGTTCACATGAAATTCACATGAAGTTCATGTGAAATTTGATTCATGTGAATTTCACATGAATTTTTCACATGGAAAATTTCACGTGAATTTCATGTATAAGCTCGTTTCAGGTAAAATTTACATGAAAAATTTCACGTAAAATTCACGTGAACCAATTTTGCCTGTGTATTCTAAGCCCCATCTCCATCAAAGTGTGGGCTGGGGCATTAATCTTACAAACATTCTCAAAACTTTCAAAGGAGAAATTCATTTGTCTGAAAATAAATGTTCTGTGCTGAAGTTTTGCTGCATATTATTATTTCATTTGGCTGTACTGTTACACAGAATATTTACTGTTGAATTGTGGTATGCCGCAGGAAGTGTAACTGTACTATGTTTAATGTTTTAGTGTGGTATACTGCTGGGAGCTGTGCTCCTGTTTTTCTGCACCTGGTTGACTCTGGTATCATGCCGTATGCTGATGAAGGCTGGTATTACCTCACGCAGGAGATCCTATGGATTTCTTGGTATGATAGGTCTAACCAATTCACAGAGTGAATATAGTGTTCACAAAACATATTTTGACAGCTCCTTCTTATTATTCCAGTCAAAGCTAATCTGCTTGCTCCATTTATCCAACCAGTGTATTAGGAGGCAGATACACTGAATCCAGTCATTACTGTGCTTTTCACGTTTAAATGCTGAAATATGTTTTGCCCAGTTACAAAGTATGCTGTGAAAACTGATAAATTTATTGTGAGAGCCAGTTATCATACTCATGATTTTTTTCCCCCTCTTTAACAAATTTTGCCAAAAAATGTATATTGAAACAAATTTATTGACATCCAACATAACATGTATAAACCCTCAATTGATATTTTTTCAGCTTACTATACTTATGGTGCCCCAGGGAAGCTAGCTGTTGAAATCGGGTAAGTTAGTCCAGAGTTAGTTAGATACCCTAAATAATCAAGTTTAGCTACTCACAGTCTGCATTAAACATGATGTCATGTGTCTATTGCTGTGAAGGGGGTAGTACATGTTTATGTCCTCTGTCAATCTGTTTGTTCATACAATATCTTGGTTTAACTTTGCATCCATTACTCTCACTTCTTGAAGTCCAACAGCCTTAAAACTTCTTATGAGTAGTACTACTGATTAACCCTACTGATGAGATCTAGATTGTTGCCACCAAACTAAAGATAAACATTTTATTTAGAACATCAAATTGATAATATATAATTACCATTCCTACTTTGTATGCTATTGATTGGCTATCTGTCCTAATGGGGGCTGCAGTGGCCAAGTGGGTAAGGCGTCTGACATTCTGCTACCACTAGCCCTCCACCGCTGGGTCACGGGTTCGAGACCTACGTGCATGGGGCAGTTGCCAGGTACTAATTGTAGGTCGGTGATTTTTCTCCGGGAAATACAGCTTTCTTCCACTACCAAAACATGGCACATCCTTAAATGACCATAGCTGTTAATAGGACGTAAAACACAAACAAACAAACAAACTGTCCTGATGTTGTCTTATTTAATGCTTTAGTTTCCAGTCTTATCATTGTGTTTCAGGATGATAGGGCTACAGCTGGGAACACTGATTGCCCAAGTTGTTATTATTGGTGACCTTGGTCCAGCCATTGTGTCCAAGTACCTAGGACTGGAGGTAGGTTCCTCAGATATATTGTAGGAAGCATTGGAATATTTTGTGTCCAGGGGTGTAGGAATGGGAAATTTCACCTACAGGGTTTTCAAATTGGGTGAAACCTGAGACTTTTCAAGGGTTTTGCATCAATTTGAAAATCCTAAGGGTGAATTTCCCTGTTCTACATCCATGGATCTGAAAAAGTACCGTATTTATCCGGCAATAAGCCCACTTTTAATGATTGCAGTTTATTAGAATTGCTAGCAAATGCTATATCATTGTCCTTTAATAAGCCCATCCCCCTACTTTGAGTCAGAGATTATGTGTTGGCGCCCTGGGCTTATTGGAGGAGAAATACAGTATAGTCTCTCATTCCAATCACCAGAATAGCTCAGAAACCACAAAAAGGCAATGCTGTTTCTGCATCGTATCGTGGAATCAGAATGTTGGAGACGCCATGTCATTGTTGTTGTATTGTGAAGTCACACACATGAAATGGAGTGTAAGAAAGAAATTTCTTGTACCCATTTCTTACCCTTGACAGTCTTGCCATATACACATATGAATTCGAGAATAACAATGCAACAATGTAACATGAATTGATGTTAGTATTGCCTCTTATTATTTAACTGGATATAAGTGTGTCTGCAAGTCAGGTGACACAGCACTTGATGATTACCGTTGAAATCATGAGGGAGAACTATCATTAAAAATTAAAAATAAAATATCCAAAGCAAACTCTTACATTTACTCAATTTACAAAATATTAGTTTATATAATATTAAAATATCAAAGCGTAATGTCCAAGAGTCTTATGCTGTTCTGTGCAATGAATTAATTTAATTTGAGCTTAAGATAAGGTGTAGAGGTTTTTGCTGATTTCAAATGACAAAAGATGAAAGTCACAATCTCCTTCTAGACTAGGAATTAAAATTTAGTCAGTGGGGAATTGTTAAACTTCTGCCTCATATGATATCATTAGATCAATAATTATTATTTAATTTTCTAGACTATGGTTACCTATTGGATCTAATCTTTGTTCTGTCTTGTTGGAGGTATCATACATTTTTATACGATTAAGGAAATTTATTTTGCAGAGCTTGGGTTCTGATTTTTTTATCATACTAAAATTATCCTGCTTTCTGTTATACCGTTAATTAAAGAAAGATTTTGAATTAAACCTGATGTTTGGCCTTGATTTGCAGTAACCTGTAGAGCTATTGGTTTTGTAGAACAATGGTAACCTGCGGATGGGTCTGATCTGTTTCCTGTGTCTGTGTGTTGGACTACCTCTTGGCCTGCTGAAGAACCTCAATACTGTCAGCAGAGCCAGCACCTTGTGTATTCTTTTTTATGGATTATTCACTGTTTATGTAAGTAGTGGTTACACAGGTGTTAAATTTAAAAAAAAAAAATACAGTAAAAAGGAACGATATACTGACACGATGATATTGGACCAAATGATACAATCCTTTTTAATGTCAGTTGAGTTAGATTTACGACTCACTGATATCTAATCTGTTATTTGTTACCGTATATTCTTTTTCAAATATGTGACTGGTTTGAATATTGAAAGTGTAAGATACTAAGATGTCATTTGGCTGTGTGCGAGTGTATCTAATCACAACAAAATTGAAATCCTGTGATCAAATAATGCCTTTATAAAATTGTCCATTAATAATTATTTACCTGTGTAAACGTTCCTTTCTTGTAGGTGTTCTCACTGTCCATTCCAAATCTAGTGTCTGGTGACTGGATTAACAAAGTGAACCTCTGGAGGACTGATGGACTATTCAAATGTCTGCCCATCTTCTCATTTGCTTTTGGTTGTCAAACGTAAGTTACTAGGGAGTGGTGTACTCATCCAATAAAATGACAGTTGCAAACTTTATAAAAAAAAATGATTACAAAAAATATTCTGCAATATGAACATTCAACTTTTAAGCTAGATACTTAATGAATAACCCTGAATTACACTTATAAATAGTACTTGTAAGAAAGGAAAATATTCTCCTTAGGTCTTTGCACACCAGGTTTCAAAAATTCTGAACTTAATCGTAGCTCTGTAAAATGTTTAATTAATATTTAGTTTTCATCTTTTTTAGCAAAGTATTTTCATTCATGTTTCAAGTCAATTGATGATTTCCTCATGATAAACAAATACACATTTCATTTGACATTCAAAAGGAATTTTGGACTTTAACCAAAACTTGGTTTGAGAACCGCTGAACCTCAATGATTTAGCTCATTTGTTCCCAGATGGTTTGGAGTATGAAATATTTGGGACTCTTTTAACTAGAAAAATATAGCTGTCCTTTGAAACGGTCAGAAAAAAAGAGCAAGATCAGTGGTTGCTAGGTGAATAAGGGTCAACTCTATTCCTTTATGATATCCGAAAGAAAATGTATTTTTATTTTTTCTTTGACCTGCTAGGCAGCTGTTCATTATGTTTGATAACCTGCCTGAGCCGTCCCTGAAGAGTGTCAACAACATTGTACACAGTGCTGTTAACATGTGTACCGTCTCCTATCTCCTGGTAGGCTCAAATTGTTGTTAATATTTTAGGGAAAAGAAAGAAAAAAAATGATTTCCTATTACACATACTTTATGATTTACCTCTTTATATAACCTTACTTATTGAAATGGGGGGAAAAAATGTTTATAGATAATTTAGAAAAAAAAAGTCTTAAATTTTCTTTGAAGTATAAATGTGGTTGCTTTAGAGACAAGTTTTAAGCTCAATACGGTATTCCTTGGTCAAAGAACCTTGTGTCTCATTTAGTAATCAATATAAGATGCTGTTATAATGCTTTTAACTACCAAACATTTCCCTTTCAGACTGGATTTTTTGGCTACATCGCATTCCACAATAAAGATATAGGAGGAGACATTGTGAAAGATTTTGAAGTCAGTTTGGCATCCGATGTTCTCAAACTTGGTTTTGTCATCTCCATTGCTGTCACATTCCCTCTTATCATCTACCCGTGCAGAGGGAGTCTCTACACCCTACTGTTTCCTCAAGTATGTAGCACTCCTATAAGTCTGTCTCACGTTTTTGTTTCTTAACTTTTAGCTGACCTGTTCATAGTTAGATATTTGCAGTGCTTGTCCGTAACTACTTCAGAATGGCTGAATATCTTTATGGGGTTTCATTAACTTCTAAGTTTTGCAATTTTCACAGAACTACAAAAAAATACAACTCATGAAATGAATAAAACATCATGCCATGGCCACTTAATCTGAAATTGATGAAAAACAAATTCTGGAAAGTTGAAGATTTTAGCGATCAATGCAAACACAGGAACTGCATAAAAATTGAAGTATCATGATTGGACAGTGTGTCACCTACCAGCCTCTTTTCTATTCTGTACTATCAAGGTCATGCATCGGGCAAGGGCTCCAATGTCAAATCCTAATCTTTGTCAGGGCTATGACTTCTAAACTCATTTTAATGAAACTTGATAACATCAGAATGCTTGTTATCTTCCATTTTAAAGTCATTTTCTATCTATTGTATTATGTTGATCCATCTTGCTAAATTAGGAGACATAGGGAAATATATTACACCTGAAAATGTGAAATGTGGAAATTTTTGTTTTCAAAGTAATATGATTCCATGGTTATGTTCACTTATGTTCTTTCACCCTTGGCAAATGTCATTACAAAATGGAAGGCTCAGCGTGTGCCACCTGCTGGATGAGACAAGAAGACTAGTTTGATTCTTGATGTACATAAAAAAATCTCACCTTTGCAGAACGGTAAAATTTACTGACTTCTAAGTTGGATTTTGCTCCTCTATAATCATCAAAGGTCAGGGTCAAATAGCTAGCTGCGTGCCTTCAGTTTTGCTATGGCACATTCCGGAGATGCAGAGAGCGTAAGTGAGCATAACTCCTGGAATTTTGAAGTTATCTTAGTAATAGACAAAAATATATTTGGACATTTGCAGAGACAAAAACATAGTGATGACTTGGAGAAGAGGCCTGTTATACCAGAACTTCACTTCAAAGTTCTCACCACCTTCATTGTCCTTGGCTCAATGATAACAGGCATCCTAGTCCCTAATGGTAAGAAGCCTTGTGTTTGGTAATTAGGAGTCGCTCACTGTTCGGGTTGTTGTTTAGTTTGAATTGACGATGTCAGAGTTTCAAGTTTGCCCCATTTTCATGCAGTTTTCTCTTTAATAGTAAACAATTAGCCTGTTTTAAAGGCAGCTTATTCTAAACCTTCATGGATGTTGGAGAAATCAGATTTTGATGTTATGAAGGCCAAAATTTAATACGACCTGAGGATATTGTTAGACAAAAGAATTTCAGTTACAGTGAATATTGTGCCTTGAGTCCTCTTATTGGTCCAAATAAGGATCTTAAGGGATCAATGGTGATATTTTGGTGTAGTTTAAAAAAAATACCTTTTAATACTAATATTAAAAAAAATGTATAAATAATTGAAGCATGAATTTGTTGATGGATCCACGGAATGGGATTATCTAAGTCTGTGATAGATCACACATATCACTAGTCAATCTGTTCAGCAACAATGCATGTCAGACTTAGAACGTCTTTTTTAGATGTAGTAAGAGAATAATTCTGCTAATGTGTTNCACACACATCACTAGTAAATCTGTTCAGCAACAATGCATGTCAGACTTAGAACATCTTTTTTAGATGTTGTAAGAGAATAATTCTGCTAATGTGGGTTTTTTTATATACAAAATTGATTTGAATTTCAAATATTGTTATTACCTGTGTTCTAAAGTGAATTGTGTCAGGTGTCTGTTGAAATAAGATATGCGTGAAAACTTATCCGGCATTGTTTGACTGCTGTATATTTAGATCACACACATCACTAGTAAATCTGTTCAGCAACAATGCATGTCAGACTTAGAACATCTTTTTTAGATGTTGTAAGAGAATAATTCTGCTAATGTGGGTTTTTTTATATACAAAATTGATTTGAATTTCAAATATTGTTATTACCTGTGTTCTAAAGTGAATTGTGTCAGGTGTCTGTTGAAATAAGATATGCGTGAAAACTTATCCGGCATTGTTTGACTGCTGTATATTTTATCTTTGGTTCCTATTTACAGTGGAATTTGTATTGGCCATGAATGGTGCTACCATGGGAACCCTTATCTGTTATATATTTCCTGCTGTGTTCTTCCTACGGGTGATGACAGGCTCATCTGAGGGAAAGCTGATTGCACAGGTGAGGAAATCAGAAACTCCTCTATTCAGGTGGAAGAGGCCATATTAAAAATTCAACATTCAACATTCATCCTTGGGCAAATAAAACTGTATGTGCCAACAATGAAAGGTCAGCTGATTCCTTTGGGACTTGGCTCTGGAAATTAGCGATTTTTCTGGCAAAACATGAGGTGTGAATATCTACCAAAAATGCATATTGTTATTCATTTACGCAGAAATATACATTGTCACCGTTGTCCCTAAAAGTTATATTTTTACCTCTTTCCTTGTTATTTCTTAAGTCGTCATATTTACTGTGTATGTTGACAAAATTGTTTGCGTTTTTTCTTCTCCAGGCTGTGTTAATTTTAGGATGTTTGATCATGGTACTGTGTACATTGACCACACTGAACGCCCAAGAACAAGTTCATGCTGTTGAAGTAGTGAAAGATGAGATTGTAAACAAGGACCTCCCTGTGGTACATGACAAAGAAAAGCCCCTCCAGCCTCCGGTCCTTAACACTCAAGATAAACACCTTCCTAAGGACAAACCTCCTGACAAAATAGCCACAGGTGACAAAGTTGATACTCTATTGAGTAAAGGTAGGCATCTATGACATTTTGATTTATAAAAGTCAAAGTTTGATAAGTATAAAAAAAACATTTAAAAAAAAAAAACATGTTGTAATATAACAAGTCAAAAATGAAAACATTGGTTCCTTAGATTCTCTTTGTACTGATATTTCCTAGGTAAAGGCTTAAATGTCACCTATATTTGATGATTCAATGACTTCTTTAAGAAGAAATGATCCAAAACATTCACCAGGAATTGTTGAAATTGATATATTGCTCAAACTTTATTTCAGACAGATAATAAAACAGAATGGTTATAAAGCTGTTACCATTGTCATCAATATTACAATCCTCAAAAACAGTTGTGAAGTGATTGGCAGTTATATTTTGTTTTCATTGTATGCTTTATATAATTCCTATTCCTGTTGTTGATGAAATTGTTGTTTCTGATTTGTACAGATGAAAAGGCTAAAGATAAGCGTGTGGAGCCCCCCAATCCTAGAGAACCGTCTGAGGTAGGTAGTTACACAATACTGGCATCGTGATGTAGAACTTTCAAACTTTTTTTATTTATCTCAACACCTTTGAATTACAATGGTATACAGAGATATACAGATTTCATGTACAGTAATTAGCATGCATGGTTATATAGAGGGATACAGTATAATAGAAACGGAGATGTACTGCAGTTACTTTCATGACGGGGAACAGACAGAATTTTTTTTTTTGATAAAAGTACATAAATATTTTAGGAATGCTTTTCTTTTAGTTGACATTATAATCTTAAGCGATAATACACTATGACGTCTAATTAACATAGAGGATAGAATAATTTTCCTTTCATTATCTAATGCCGGACATTCAAATATATAATGAAATTCATCTCCGATATCTCTTACATTACATAATTGACAAATACATTCATGTCTTGGTATATTACTCCTAATTCCGGCTTCTACAAGTAAGTTACTATTTCTGGTTCTAAACCTACAAAGAGTATAAGCATCATTTTTAGCTCACCTGGTTCGAAGGACCAAGGTGAGCTTATACCATACCGCAGCGTCCGTCGTCCATCAACTTTTTCTTTAAAATGCTACTAGTCATGAACGACTGAGCAGAGCTTGACCAAATTTTGTATAATCGGGGGGCTGAGGGGCGGGACCCAATAGGGGAAATATAGCAAATTCTTTAAAATCCTTCTTCTTATGTAGGAATGAAAGGTTTTGTTCCATATTTGGTCTGAAGCATCCTTGGGTGAAGGGAAACCAACTTTGTATAAACAGTGGATCTGGCCCCTCTGGGGGTTGATGGGATTGGGCCCAATAGGGGAAATATAGCAAATTCTTTAAAATCCTTCTTTTTCTGTAGGAATGAAAAGATCTGTTCCATGTTTGATCTGAAGCATCCTTGGGGGAAAGGGAACCAATCTTGTTTAAATCGTGGGTCTGGCACCCCAGGGGCCTGAGGAGCAGGGCCCAATAGGGGAAACATAGCAAATTCTTCTTTAAAATCCTTCTTCCTCTGTAGGAATGAAAGGATTTTGTCCATATTTGGTGTGGGCCCAATGGGGGAAATAGAAGAAAAAAACGTTATAATCCTTCTTCTACCATAGGGATTAAGGGATATTATCCTAATTTAGTCTGGAGCATCCATGGGCAAAAGGGACTAAATTTTGTATAAACAGCGAGTGTGGCCCCGGGAGGGGCCCAATAGGGGAAACATAGCAAATTCTTCCAAAATCTTTCTACTTCTGTAGGAGTTACAGGATTTTGTCCAAATTTGGTATGAAGCACCCTTGGGTGAAGGGTAACCAATTTTATTTTAACTAGTGTGTCTGACCCCCCCTTGAGGCAGAGAGGCGGGGCCCAATAGGGGAAATAGAGGTAAAACCTTTAAAATCCTTCTTCTACCATAGGGATTAAGGGATTATTTCCTAATTTAGTCTGGAGCATCCTTGGGCCAAGGGGACTTAATTTTGTATAAACAGTGGGTGTTGTCTCCCAGGGGACAGAAGGGTGGGGCCCAATAGGAGAAATAGTGGTAAAACCTTTAGAATCCTTCTTTGACCATCGGGATTAAGGGATCTTAACTTAATTTAGTCTGGAGCATCCTTGGGTCAAGGGGCCTCAATATTGTATAATTGGTGGGTATGACCCCCTAGGGGCATAGGGGTGGGGCTCTGTTTGAAGTTTGTTCTCGCTATATCTCAAGTACTGGATGGATCTTTCTGAAATTTCATATGTACTTACAGCACCTACCATGGAGTGCTATATCTTTACTTCATACCAATTATTTTAAACATATTCAGGTGAGCGTTACAGGCCCTCTGGGCCTCTTGTTTAGAGGAAACCAATTTAAATTTGTTAAACGTGGCAAAAGTTTCTACTAGTAGTTTTGGCTCAGGTTTTGTTTATACTTGGAACATTCTGTGAAAATTTGGAGTCAATATAGTCTTTCCTCAGCTTAAGATAAAATTTACATTGTGCATTATATTTAATTATGCTTTAACATGTTAAGGAACATAAAATGATGCATTAAACAAAACAGTGACTGGTTCTGTTAAGATCAAACATTGGTTTGCAGATATGGGGGTAGGGTTTTTTCTTTGACTTTTGTAGTTCGTGAGTTGGGATACAGCCCAGCTGTAAAACAGGCCAGATTGGTTCATCTATTTAATGCTCGTCTGTTTCATACTTTGATCTTTTCTTTTACAGAATGACAACCCACCAGACAAACCTGATGTTAAAGAGACTTTAGATAAACCAAAAGAAGATTCTAACCTAAAAACCAAAAAGGTTGATGATGCACCGGTCGAAAAGAAAACTGGACAAGAAAAGGTAATGGAAGGACAAGACCAGCTACAGAAGGCACCAGTCATGAACAAGGAGGAGGAGGCAGGACAAGGAAAAGATGTGGATCAGAGTAAGGACACTGGACAGGAGGCAGGGCAAATAAAGGCTCCTGTACAGAAGAAAGAGAGCAATGTGGACGGGGGTGACAAGGAGCAAGCAGCAGAAAAGAATAATAGGAAACAGGATGAAATCATCAATGAACTAGAGAAGCAACGCGAGGTACAGCGAGAATTGATCGAGGAACAAAAAGAAATCCTGGCACAGCTCAAAGAGCATGAACAGGAACACAAACAGGTAAAACACTGTTTGTAATTACAATATCAATAATGTATATGGACAGCACAGGGTACATATCAATCCTCTATATTACAACATTCCCTACACTTGTTTTGTATGGTTTCATATCAACAATATACATTGTACAACCAGTGGAATCTTGTTTCAAAACTATACAAGGTGAAGGTCACAGCTAGAGGTCAAATTTCAAATAATTTCAATGGTTTTACTGACTTACTGCTAACTTTATAGATACATATATATAACAAGATGGTATGTTGCACACTACTTACAGCAAGGTTCAAAGGTCAAATAATGGTAAAGCTTGTATGGACTTTATCATTCAATATTTTTTGTGGAAATGGTCTATGTGTCCAAGGTCAAGTATACATGAAACTTCATATCTATAAAGATGTACAATGTACTTATATTATATACATCCTATTACCCTGAAGGTCAAAAGCTCAATGAGGGAAAGTGGTATATCTTTTTGAGCTCCCGAAAGTCAAAAGCTCAATGTGAGGTAGCACCATATATTATTTTTTTAAGCTGTTAAAGGTCAAAAGCTTAATGTAGGGTAGTAGCATAGCTTTTTGAGCTCCCAAAGGTTAGAAGCTCAATGTGGGATAGCTCTTTGAGCTCCTGCTTATTGAAATTTTTGTTTTTCTTTTTGATCCTTGGAGAAGAAACTAATTTTCTTGTGAATAAGGTTGTTTTTTAGCTCACCTGTTGGGCCAGGTGAGCTTATGCCATGGTGCAGCGTTCGGGAAATTTTCCCTTTAAAACGGTACTAGTCCTTAACGGCTCTGAGGATTTTGACCAAATTTGGTCTGGAGCATCATTGGCATAAACGGAGGGTATGGTCCCCCTGGGGGCAGAGGGGCTGGCCGAGAAGCCTCAAGTTTGTATAAATGGAGGGGAAATAGAGGAAAACATGAAAGATCCTTCTCCTTTTGTACCGATAAAAGGGATTTTAACGAAACTTGTTCTAGAGCATCTATGGACAAAGGGAATTTAAATGGAGGATCCCCCCATTTAAACNTGTTGATACTTTGCAAGTTGCATCCTGAGATGAAAGGCTATAAAATTTGTTCAACATAATGACTTTGTTCGACTTTCTATCATAGTGGTGAAATGTTTTAAAAAAAAATAACAGGCCCTTTTGAATGAATTTTAATCATAAATACTGATATTTTAGATCACTTTTAAGGTTACAAGTGAGAGATTTATACCAGGTGAGCGATGCAGGCCCATTGGGCCTCTTGTTTTATTTATTATTCATTGGGTCATAACATGGAAAATCATTACCCACCAAAACAGATTTACATGTAGTTCATCTTGCAACTTTAATTTGTTTCTTGTACTCCTTTGATAAACCTGTATGGTACTTTGCAGGTTTTAAATTGAAAATAAAATACCAGGTGAGTTATTAAGACCACTGGGCCTCTTGTCTTGTTACTTGCCATACTGTTCTGTTTTGATAAGTTATCACATTTTGAATATTTCATTTGCATCAGATATGGTAAGTATGCTGGTGTCAGATGAATGTATTCTATGATGGAAATTATTTCTTGATTTCTTGTTGGGAGGGCTTCTGTAACAGGTACCCTTATTGTTTTCACTCAATTTTTTCTCAATATTGATTCTAGTACGGTATGTAAGCTTTAGAATCAGCTTGTCATGCACTGCTTGTTGCCGAGTCCATTGGAGTGAGAGGTTTGATACAGGAGAGAGATTTGGGTGTTGGTATATATTGACTTTATATACAGACCTTTCCTAACCCTGGGTACATGTTTTATGCTTTTCCATCCCTAATTAATTCTAACAAATATCAAAAATCCTTAACAGACCCTCCCAGACAGCAATCGTAATCCAATTGTAATATGTGTCAAATTATTTTTAATGATGTTAAGATGTACCGGTTAATTTATATTTTGTGTTGGTGATAGCAATTTTCATATGTAGGCACAATTGTTTTTGAATGAAGATTAATCTATACAGAATCTTATCTCATAAGTAACACTATTAACAGTGTCATTAAATGCAGTATATAATTTATGTTATGAGCACATGTGAAATAATACTAAGTGGTACATTTTGTAACGTCGGACAAGCGTCGGTTTAAAGTATTTGGATATAAAGAGCAACACAAAGTAAGATCATGAAAATATATACAATTTATTAAATATCAATTCACTATTACTCACTATCACACTCACTCTCAACCTGTGCATCCTCTAATCAGAATATTACAGTTCATCAGGACCACAGTCTGCTCAAATAAAGTGCCCCAAAAACAATGTTCCATAGGTCAACGTCTGGTTGACAGCACACCATCTGTTCTACACGAACAGATCACCAACAACAATACCGTACCGCAGCACAGATCACCCACAACAATACCGTACCGCAGCACAGATCACCCACAACAATACCATACTGCAACACAGTTCACCCACAACAATATGGTACCCCAGCACAGTTCACTCACAACAATATGGTACCTCAGCACAGCACCCACAACAGTACCGTACCGCAGCACAGTTCACCCACAACAATACTGTACTGCAGCACAGATCACCCACAACAATACCGTACCGCAGCACAGATCACCCACAACAACTTGTACCGCAGCACAGATCACCCACAACAATACTGTACCGCAGCACAGTTCACGTCCGGAGAAGCTACGTCTGCTATGACGTAGGTAAACACACAAAGTGTTTCCGTAAATTACCCGCAGGTAACTGTACTTTACTAGCGTTGTCCAAGTTGTCAGGACACAACATGTTAATTAACTAGTCCGCTAGTCACCACTCAGAGTTGGTCGCTCCTGTCGGTCGACACAATGATTGTATGACCCTTCTGTACCATCCACGAAAACCCTCCTGTGGCTGATCTAATCAATCCGTCATGAAAAGCTTTAACAAATAAAATTAATACAAAATATTTTCCCACCTTCTCTTCATACAACGTTCATACAATAACATCCTACCTGAAAATTAGCCTAATGCAATAAATAGCCCCGACACATATTATATATGTATATATTCTACACAATATCCATCTACATTAACAGTTCTACAACGTGTCGGTCCATTTATATCATCAACCATGATTAAATATTCAATTCAAATATGGCGACTCAAGGCTGCCATACTTTCTTACATGGACAATACTGACTGGTCAGAATGACATTTATATGGACAATTACACTTATTGTACATATCGTATCAGACTATTATCAACAATATGCATTATACATTACATTCTGATATAACTATATCAATATAAACATCGAAATACAAACATATAAGCATGATGTAAACAATCAATATACACCTGTACTACACCTGCCCTATCGCTACTCATGAGTGGACCGCACGTCAAGGTATACACAAGAAATGCATTTACGGGGATCAGAGACACTTCAATATACAAATTAGTGAAGTAAGAGTATTATATTAGTTACTCACCACAGTCTGTATTCTGTTTCTGAATCCATGGAATATGTCTGACACAGGTATTGCTTAGCACATCGCCATTACTACATTAATCCCAGTCCTGACCAATTATTATTTGGATGCTTTGGTTTGGTTTGGTTTGTTTGTGTTTCACGTCCTATTAAAAGCTATGGTCATTTAAGACTGTGCCACGTTTTGTTGGTGGAGGAAAGCCGGAGTTCCCGGAGAAAAACCAACGACCTACGTCCAGTACCTTGTGACTGCCCCACGTAGGTCTCGAACCCGCGACCGAGTGGTAGAGGGCTAGTGGTAGCAGAATGTCAGACGCCTTAACCACTTGGCCACCGCAGCCCCTATTTGGACGCCAATTTAAAATCTATTATTGCTGTATGGCAGCCATTTTGAAAATCTATTTTGAATTCAAACTCAAATTCTACGCCAGTGATTCACTGTACATGGTTGTGTCCAAAGATAGTTATTTTAGAGCTGATTTGAAATCCAGTATGGTCCCCATGGCAGCCATTTTGAACTCTTTTTTTTTTTTAACTTTTAGTATGATCCAGAATATGGATGGACCAATAACATTTTCTTATTTTTCTGACCATTCCCATACTATGTTATATTTGTTGTCTCTTCGTAGTCTCTTCGTAATCAACATTTATATTGAGCTGAGTTGTTTTTATTGGTTATTCCTCGTTAGAGTAGCATTGAGGGTAACAGAAAGTATCTACCCTGAGGAGGCTTAAAATTGTCTTATTTGAACACATCAGAACTGTTGTGACCTTTGTACACATCAGAACTGTTGTGATTTTCGAAACACATCAGAACTGTTGTGACCTTTGTACACATCAGAACTGTTGTGACATTTGAACACATCAGAACTGTTGTGACCTTTGTACACATCAGAACTGTTGTGACCTTTGAACACATCAGAACTGTTGTGACATTAGAACACATCAGAACTGTTGTGACCTTTGAACACATCAGAATTTTTGTGACCTTTCAACATACCAAAATCAAAGTGAACGGTCTATGTATAAAATTTGTGTTGTATGGAGCTTACCAACTACATGTATTTAACCAGAGAGAGGAAGTTGCAACTAAGTTAAAACCCATTTGATATTGCACTCACTTCTCAGAGGTGCATGATAAGGAAAAGTGACATATACTGAAATCATGTTTAAATTTATCAATAGCTAGTGACACTACTTCAAGTCAGGTGGCACAGCAGATAGCAAAATTGCCTTTCCCCATGATAGCCATGGTTGGCTTCTAAGTGGATGTGAGTGTGAGTCACCTGCCCAATTATGGGTTTTCTTGTGTGCTCTGGTTTCCTCCCACATTAACTCTTTCACCCCTAGGTAACTTAAATAGACTCTACCATTCATTCATCTGGATGAGTCCATTGTGGTCTACAGTGGTCAAAGGATTAAGACCCCTTCGTGCTTCCATCTGAGCCAACAAGAGTGTTATATATAAGTTGAAAAACTTGTTTCATGAGTGTTGTAGGAGAAATAAAGTTAAGACTTAGTGTCACTTGGTTACAATAAGTGGTTTCTGTCATAACCTTTAGCGTAACAAGGTAACAGCTGTTTTATGTACTGTTACAGCAACTATAGTGTCACAGGCTACACTAATTGTTGGTTACAAAGCAGGTATTACAAGGCCCATAAAGCTTAACAACACTCGATGATACTTTCTTTTTCTGAATCACTAATCATTACTAACTGACGAGTCAGTACAAAAGAGTAGCAAATTGTTTTCAGTTTGTAATCAGATTTCAATCTAAATTGAAAAACAGAACCAATACATTTTGAACGGTGTTATTTTATCATTATCATTCCAGATTGATGCTGAGAAGCAACAGGCTAACATTGGAGAAGCAGCAATGGTAAATCCACCAGCTGCTCAACAGGTAAACTCAAAGCAAGGTGTGGGTCAACCACTTGGAGGCATTCAACAAGGTGTTGGCCAGCCAATGGGAGGTGTTCAACAGCAGCAAGCCGCTGGCCAGCCAATGGGAGGTGTTCAACAGCAGAAAGCCGCTGGCCAGCCAATGGGAGGTGGTCAACAGCAGCAAGCTGCTGGTCAGCCAATGGGAGGTGTTCAACAGCAGAAAGCGGCTGGCCAGCCAATGGGAGGTGTTCAACTGCTGCAAGTCGCTGGCCAGCCAATTGGAGGCGTTCAACAGCAGCAAGTTGTCAACCATCCATTGGGAGGAGTTCAACAACAGCGAGTTGTCAACCAACCATTGGGAGGGGTTCAACAGCAGCAAGTTGTCAACCAACCATTGGGAGGAGTTCAACAACAGCAAGGCCAGCCAATTGGAGGAGTTCAACAACAACAAGTTGTCAACCAGCCAATGGGAGGTATACAACAAGCAGGAGGTGACCAGAGACTCGGAAACATGCAACAGCAGGCTCCTGGTCAAGTTGTTGGTAATCTCCAACAGGCTCCTGGTCAAGTTGTTGGTAATCTCCAACAGGCTCCTGGTCAAATTGTGGGTAATCTCCAACAGGCTCCTGGTCAAGTTGTGGGTAATATTAAACAGCAAGCAAGGGAACATGTAGCAGATGTTTTAAAAGAGATTGATAATAGACCCATGCTACAAGCAAAAGCACCTGATCAGAATGCCAATATGAAAAATTCAAATGTTCCAAAAAATGAAAAGAACTCGGTGAAGGACGGTGATATACATATGAAAAAGAAATCTTCTAAAAAACATAGAAAGGAGCATAAAGAAGAGGTGCGTCATCGTAGAGATGTTGTCGATGTTGTTGATACACATAATGATATACCCAATGATAAAGAAGAAATGGTCAAACCAAAACCACTGAACGAAGAAATGAGAAGGAAAAAATTGAGTATTGATGAAAAGCCAGATTCAGACATAAACGATATATTTAATAATTTAGACTCTATGAATGACCTTTCTCTGTTCCATGGTCGATCTCTGAAAGAGGTCCTACATAAAAGGTCATAAAAATTTTCTCCCAATCTAATTAAAATCAAGACCTCTCCAGACAGCTTCTTTACCTACACAGAGAGAAGGATTCTCTCTCAGCGTAGGTGACAATGCGGTCTTGAGAGGTCTGATTTTAATTAGACTTACATTTCTTCATCACTGATCCATAAGATTATAAGGAACATTGTGTTACAGATGATATCTTTGTTGAGTTTTAAGAGAAAAAAATCACAAATTCAACATTCATCATGAATGTCTTGATTATTTAGTGGGAGCTATATCAGCACCATGCCTACTGATTAGGTACCTCAGATTATGTAGTGGTATGGATGAGGACTTATAAAGCCTAGTCCCTATCACCCTAGACACATAAAACTTGGGAACTGATATCTTAAATAGTAATGTAAATTTTCCTGAACTTTAATGCTCAAACATAATCCAATGAGGAACTTATACTCTACAAACCAAAAAAAAAGGTACAATCAGGTGATTGAAGTGGAGGAAAATAAGAGGTTCATGACATTGAAAAAATAACAATTTGGTAGTAGCAACTGTACTTCACATTAAAAAATAATTTTCCAAACATCATGTATGTTTTAAATATTTGAACAATATTTAAAGAAATGAGTGTCTTAAAATATAGGGTTAAAGAAACAAATGGTGTTTTTTTATGAGATTGAGGTAAAACAAAACAAATATCGTACTTTAAAACAAGTCTGCTGGCAAGTTGAGTTCAAAATGTTCTGATCAGAAACTGTTCAGGTATTTGCCTCCTTGAGAGAAAAATTTGGGACCAATCACGAACTTATGTCAACTTAAAATTAGGAATTGCCACATAATGGTAATACCATATATAGGGGGTGGGTTGTATGCTAAAATTCACAAAACTAAACTGACTTTGTTCTCACCATTCATATAAGAGCTGGGACTACTTATTGTGATACTTCAATGATACATGTATTGATGTGCAATGTAAAATAGCGCCATAATGTGAAAATATATAATATCTATGGGAAGACTGGTAACATTTTCATTTACACATTTCTGAAATGCACATGCATAATGGATTTGCTCAACTCGTTGATAAGAGCTAAATCGTGTAACTACTAAAATGGAAATGTGAAAAAAGCTATATTTATTGATGACAACAGATAGCTCAGTGGTTTATAGCTGTTGTAGAAGAGTTCCCGTATCCTGGGTTCCAATTCCAGTCTAGTTAAAGCATGTTTTCTTTTCCCTCATGTATCATGGAGGTATAACGCATTGTCCCAGTTATACCATGTATGTGATGTTGAATGTATGAAATCCAGTTGTGTACATAATATTTTAGTTATGCACACGAATTGTAAAAGAAATGGCACCCATAAGTGGATCATCAGTTCTAGCAACACATAATATGTATTAATTAAGTTAACTGGGTAACACACCAAATTTTTTAAATCCATCTTATAATATGTTTTTTAAAAGGATGTCTCATCAGGTATTGCAATCAGAAGTCATACTAGTACAGAGTACGAGTCATGCTAAATGTCAAAGACTTAGCACACTGGGCTCAAAGGACTATGCTAGTGATCTATGCTAGTGAGTCACTGGGCTCAAAGGACTATGCTAGTGAGCCACTGGGCTCACAGGACTGTGCTAGTGAGCCACTGGGCTCAAAGGACTGTGCTAGTGAGCCACTGGGCTCAAAGGACTGTGCTAGTGAGCCACTGGGCTCAAAGGACTGTGCTAGTGAGCCACTGGGCTCAAAGGACTATGTTAGTGAGCCACTGGGCTCAAAGGACTATGCTAGAGAGCTAATGCCTTTACACAATGTCTGGACAAATTTTTAGTTGTCAAACTTTCTTCTAAAAGACTACTGGCTTAGAATGGCTGAAGGAATTTGGAAAATCTCGGGCTAAGGGAGTTAAATGCTGTATAGAAGAATGTGTTGTCCCCAAGGGAGTCAAATTCAGTATATAGGGAAATAAGGATGAATCTTGAAAAGTCTACTCTTTAAGTAAGGGTTAGCAGATTTTAACCTTATTTGGTATTGAGCCTATATAAATAAAAGGTGTGGACCTTCTTGGAATTTAGAGTTAGAGCCAAACAGGAAATGGGAAAGCTTTTAAACAATTCAGTTTGGGTAAAGGTATTTAAACCCAATTCAGTTTGAGTAAAGGTATTTAAACCCAATTCAGTTTTGATCAACTTAAATTCAAATGTTGTAGGGTGTGTACTTCTCAGTTGGAGAAGAAGGGCCATGTAGGGGGAAATCAGTCCATTTTTATTTTTAAAACTTTGTATAAATATATATGGCTTATTATAAATAAAGCAAAACACAAAGACTAGTATAATCGGCTAGTGCTTTTGCCCATCTTGAGGCACTTCAGGCGATTTAAATTTATTTGTGACATCATAAATGGAGTACACATACTTTAGACGTCAACAATAATGACGCCATAAACAAAGTACACATAATACGGACATCTTAAAAAGATTACATGATAGTACTTGCATTAAATGCGTCAATGAAATATATGGAAAAAGAAACGGAACATATTACAAATGCTCAAATGAATACTATGGCTTAATATATATATATGAACACCGAGTTTGGTAAGAATCATTCATACTTGGAGGAAACTCAATTTTGTGTAAATGAAGAATAAATCCAAATTCAAAATAAAGTTTACCAATAATGTAACAGGTGAGCAATAGTCCCCTTAGACCTCATGTTTCAAAATGGTTTTTCAATTGGAAAGTTCTTTGTGCCACTGTAATTTTGGTTATCATTTAATCTGTGTATAATAAGGTCAGAAATGTTGTCATTTCTGAAAATAATGCAAAATAAAGAAGATTGTTTTTCTTGCCATTAACAATAGCCTGGAGCTTTGAAGAGAAAGCTTTTGGAAACAGGTCCAGAGTCTGTTATGTGATTGAATATGCACTATTTATTATCCTGTATTGGTGTTCAAATATGATAATCGTCTATGATGTCTACATGTAGTGCCTGCTTCTATGAGGCAAGTAGGTTATGTATGGTAATGAGATTAATTGAATTAGAAATGTGTGCTTAAAGCCTATTTTATTTTCATCAGCCCATTGAAATCACATTTTTGTCACATCAAAATATTGATCAATTGTTCATGCAATCCATGCACTATACTTTTTAATTAAATGTATCACTGTAGATTTTAAATCACTTAAATTTTGTAAACGTGATGTTTCGGCAGTATTTTCAAGGGGCTTCATTTGAATTTGTTAGTATAAAAAATCAGTGCTGTAAAACCACTTGTTACACTAAAAGGAAAGAAAAGGATGTGTTTTTATGTATTAACTAATTGTTTAAGAGCAGGTAAACTTTGGGACCCCTATATTTGAAACTATGCTCATCCTATATAACACAAAAGTCACATGTTCCTGTTCAGCTTACAAGCTATCGAAGATGGAATTTTGAAGCAAATCAAATTGCTTAATACTAACATTATGAACATCATATTTCATTCTGATACAACTAGATGAAGTTGAAATATCTTATCTCTAAATTATGATGCTAAAGGCATTTCCTCAATTCTGATCGGACATAGTAGTCCAGACAGTATAGATATATGGAGAGCATTTACAAATGAACCTACAGCTGTAAGTGGATGTATGGCAATAGGCTGTGAGTGTGTAGGTGGAGTAGCTGTGTTAATTTAAATCACATCCATTGAATTGTTGTCTGATTTGCATCCTCCAAAGCAGGGAGCATGTTTCCTGTAGTTTTCTTGTTCACACATTTTGTTTTTGTCACATAGGCTTAACATTTTGTTTACAATAGTATTTTTGTATAGTCCCAATACCTGTATGTTTCTCAAAATGTATACCCGTGTGTCAGACTGGGATTTTTATACTGTATTTTATTGTATTGATAAATCTTTTTATTGTTGTTATTCACAAACCCTGTTATGTCTGTCATTTATCATTGTAAGGTCATTATATAACATAATTATGTACTTTGTTCTAACAACTTTAAAACATTTAAAACAATGTAGTTGATACAACAATTGCTGCACATAAAACTAAGCTGCTTGATAAATACAGTGTATTTCCTTTCCAACCAAATAACAAATATTATACTTCTCTCATTTAAAAGGTTTTTTAAATAAGTTGTAAGAGGATGAGTTTAAAGTAAAGAAATCTAGCAAGCATGTAAATGTACAAGTACTTGTATTTCAATCATACATAACTGACTGTACAATAACATTAAGTACAGGTGTTGCTCATCCTGTACAACATTACACACTCGTATAATACGGAGTTTTTATTTCTGTAGTATCAGTACACCACTTCCATTAAATGATAATGTGATGCAGATTTGTATTTTTACTAGACAGATATTCAATCCCTGTGAAAGTGTCCTTCGTAATAAAAAAGAACATGAAAATATTAATCCTTAACATCGATTCTTTTAAAGAGTGGTGCATGAAAGTAATAGAGTGTACGACTGGGGATCCTAATGGAAGCTGTCATATTTAATATACAAATATATGGGTTCAAGCTTATAATGAATGTGTTCACCCTTGAATGTTTGTTCTAATTACATGTTAAAATCATTATTATTATCCTACATGTGCATATGAGGTCATGTTGTTATGAATTGTTGACAAAAATAATTGTAAGTGAATAAATCTATTTATACTACCTCATCCTTTGTATTTATTTGGTTATCCACTGTGATTTCCTTTTGTCGGTCATTATGTCTCCCCTTCGAATGAAGGGAGACATATTGTATTGATATTGGTTCTGGTTCTAGTTCTTCTAATATGATCTTGTCCAGGCTGTAGCTTTTAAACCTTTAAAGATATATTGATGAAACCTGACGTATATTTGCATCACCCATAGACTCTGCACTGCATTAGGTCATTGTGACCTTGAACCCAAGGTCATAGGTAAAAAAAAGTCTGGATTGTTTTAAGATGTACATCAAGATCACGCCAACAGTCCCTCACCACTGTGTCTTATTTTGCTTATGGTCCCTCACTGTGTCCAATTTTGCTTAAACTTAGTATGCAAGTATATGATGGTATTGTAAATCTATCCAATCATCATTTATGACTATGGGGTCAGATTTGAGGACTTGTGTAATGGTCCCCTTTACTATTAGAACTTGCTCATATATGCATTTTATAATTTAGCAGTAGGAAGTTCCCCTAATAATAATGTCTAATAAGTTCTAAGTTAAACATATCCTGATAAAACTTAAAGTATATCTGCATCACAGACAATGTACAGATCACTGGCATTAGTTCACGGCGACATTGACTTCGAGGTCAATAAATGCCAAGTTTTCAGGAATATGTTGTCCAAACCATAATTTTTACACCGCACATACGTTTTTGTTCACAAAAACAAATCTCTATAGTCATTATCCCTTTTCAATCATATTTTTGACTTCTCAGAAACTGTGTCCAATTGTGATGGAACTTCATGGTAATTGTCATTCTGGATTTGTGATCAGAATCTATATACTCTAAAAGAGGCTGTGGGAAGGGGCCATAAGTTTTCACAAAGTCCCAGTTAATTATAAACCCCTAAATGGCATATCCTCCAAAACCAAATAGTGGATTTTTACCAGAACCTGTACTCAAGAAGGGGTATAAATGATCCTTAGATTATTTTGATCAGTACCTAATAGGGGGATTGGGGGCCGACATGACTTGATAACTGCAGAAACTCGAACTGTCGCCTATGGGCTAATTAATACCCCCGCTGGCTGCTTGTTGCCCCTGTAGGGACTAAATAAACAAGGGGGAAAATATATAGAAATATCAAGGGTCAGGAAAAAGTCTATCCTCAAATGTCATACTGACAGACCGATGGAAAAGACAAACTACAGTTTCGACTCGATGACCTTTGGAATTTTGTCACAATGTAGCTTGCATCAATGCTACATTTACTCCAAGATATGTGTATACAAATACCTAGCATTCAATCTGCAATAATTAGCCAATTCAGTGACACAAGTTCATTTGAGGTATAAAATGTGTGTACAATTTTATCAAAATCCATGCATAAACCTAGGAGGAGTAGGAGGTACAATCTTTTGTCTACAGATCAACAGAGTGATTCCAGTATACTCCCCCACCCACCCCCCAACTTCATTGCAAGGGATATTATTACAAACAAAAATCTCTGCAAATTACTGTAAATGTACTAATCTTAGCTTATGATAGTGCATTAAATTTAAACTGATAAGTGCATTGATGAATTAGTGCATCCACATAAAATGCCAAAGAAAAGACTACATGTACTGCAACATCAATTGGTGCACTCATAATTTAGTGCAATATCTAAAGCACTAAAATACGACTACCACTGTAATATGTACCCTTACTAAAGTTAGACCCGACTTTGACAAAATCATCCTACTTTGACAATTTAACCAAAACCAAGCTTGGCACAAGTAACATACCTGTGAATTAATACATGTATCACTACGTATTAATGTCGTCATTGCTAATACTGCACTTGACAAAAGTCAATTTCATGTGTTCACGTTAGCTATCTGAACTCCTTCAATTTTTGTGACATATACAAATCATACAATAACTGGTCTTTCTTTGTAAGTAAAATATTTCTGGATTTTTTTTTTCTGCTGGTAATGTTTGGTTTGTTTGTGTTTAACGTCCTATTAACTGCTATGGTCATTATTACTGGTAATGCTTAACCATTAATAAAAATATTGGTTATCACGTACATCAGAGGATTTATGTATTTAATCTTACTCGTACAGTATTGAAGCACAAGCTGATATACCACTGAAGCAAAGTTACGAATCTACTGTTTATGGAAGAGTTCTAGATGGCATACAATACTGTTGTGTACAATAGAATTATTGCATTGAACTGAATAAAAGCCCCATAAATCTCAGGTAAACACTGTTCTGGGCCACACAAGTTTAGTTACAATTAACTTGGAAGTGTAGATTTACTCTAGTGTTACTACATCAAACCTGAAAACTTGAACTTGACAACAGTGGAAGACAGCAACGTCAAAGACAGAATAATGGTGCACTATTATTGTAATAATATACTCAAAAACAGTCTCACGAGTTTCAACTTTGACAAATTGACTTGTGTCGAATTATTTGGCAAGATTATTTATTTGACAGCTTTAACCCTAGAAATTAAAATTACTCCAGGCCTTGTATTTCTAAGACATTGTTTGAAATTTTTGAACAGATTTGATTGGTCACTGTGACGTTGAATGTTGGTTTGTCATTTGTATAGACTATCCTTTATCAAAGTATGATACAGGTCAAATAGTGTAACTCTACACCTCATGACTTATAGCGAGTCTTTAGAAGATTTTTACCCTCAATATCTTTAATGTGGGTTAACAAACTTGACAGCCCTTCAGCACTCCTGGTTACAGCGAAATATGTTTACGAGTTTTATGGCTTTTTGGATTTTTAATACAAAAGCATTGTTGACAACCCTTTACCAAAACAAACAACATGCAAATTATCATGATTACGCCTTATAATGGTCCTTTAGAAAAAATGTCACTTTGAAGCAAAAAGTTGATGACAGTACAAATGACAGCTACATGCTGTGCTGTATGGTGGTGTACTTAAGTTAATCTCATTAGCACTTTGTGCAAACAATGAGCTCTATTTCTTTTGAACTTCTTAAATGTTGAGTTTGATTTCTAAACATAAAATATTGACTGATCAATCACGACACATGACAAAGCGAAAGACAACATATACAAAAGAGGTTTGCAAAAGCCTCTGGCTTAGGTGACCAAAATAAAAATTCTGAGATTAGTATGTGATGGAATATTTTATTTGCTCTGAAATACCTTTCACATGTACATAGTGTTGAGTTGTTCATTTAGAGTAAAAGGATCATAACTGAGTCTCCACTTGAAACCAAACATTTCTGATACTGCAAGTTCTAGTGCTCTTTCACTCTTTCCGCTTGCTTTAAGCCATTCAACAAACTCAAATGACCAATCTGGGTCAGTCTGCCAGTCAAATTCATAGGATACCTCCACGGCTGGGATGAGGAGTTTTTCTAGCTGTCTAGCTCGGGCCAGAAGTAAGATTGAGGTGCTTGACAAAGGAAAACCATATTGTAAATATCGAAGTTTTGTACACCTCATTGCCATGTTAACAAGAGAGGAAGGAAGTCTCCGATCTCCCGTTTCGTAATTTTCCAGGAGGGAATTTGTGTATGTGAAATATTGCAGGCAATCCTTATAGTTATCTACGAGGTGCTCCAGAACTCCTTTAGTTACGATGTTGACAAGGTCATCCAGTATCAATCTCCTCAATGGCATCTTAGCAGGGAAGGAATCCTTGATTACCATGATGTATCGTAAGACCATGTCAATTTGGAATGTTGGGCAGATGCTCAGCACTTTTGTCCAGAACATTTCTTTGAGATGCTCTTGCTGTTGTAGAGGAATTTCTTCTTCCTGAACTAAAGTAACCTCCTCTAATTTATGTTCAACCAGGTAGAGGAGAATTTCATCCGTTATATTTTCCCTCCTTGTTACAAGTCGTTTCAGGTGTGTGAAGTTTTTAAGGAACTCCAGATAACCTTCATGTCCCCATAGTGACTCAGCATTCAGTTCTAGACTGGTTAACTTGTGAGCTAGACCTTGCTGTATAATGTTCAAAATGATGTTGTTGTCGGGAGATTCTGTCCAATCAATCACAGGCTGACAGATACAAACATTACTTAATAATTTACAACTCTGCAGGATACCACAAATGCCACTAACCACACTTTTCCTCCAAACAAGACTTTCATCCACCTGAAACGGAACTTCTTGTGCGATATGAAAGGCGGTCAGATGAGGACAAAATTCACTGATGGCATGCGTGATCTTAACTGCCATATGACTAAGTTTACCTCCAAAGCTTAATTTCAAAGATCTCATGTATTTACCATATTGTTTTATACAAAACAAAAACTTTGTACGCTTCTCTTTCAAAAAGTATACATTTTCATCCATTTCATTGCCATATTCAACACAGTTCCATGCAGCAACAGATCTCAAGCAGGAACACCATTGAGGAACAGCAATGATGATACTTAGCTTCTCTTCCCACGTCAGGTAGGAGAGCATGTGTGTAACTACCACAGACGGGAGATCTGTTAATGCTAAATGGTCAGTTGATCTGTGTGACGCAGCCGTCATCTGGTATTGGTTTACATCCATTATTCTACACCGTCTCATCAGACCTGCAATCAGTGTAAAATATATTAGACATGTTAGTTATATTATTAACCTGTTGACTGCATTTCTCCCCTTAAACATTTTTGATACTGTATGTTTAAATGAACTTCTTTTGATTTTTGTTCCTCTTATGTTTCAAGAAAACCTGTGACTAGTTAAATTGCCATGTATGTGGAAAATGATCCACATAACTTCTGGGTTATATCATCTTTGCTAGCCAAGGGTTATGATGCGGTATGATCCGGTCTACATACTCTTCAGGGGTGATATAACAGGAAAGAGAGTAGTGTGCTTCCATCGGGGATCAAACCTGTGATCCCTAGGTTCCTAGTCGGACGCTCTACCACTGAGATAAAGAAAATTTCCCTCTAGCTCGAAGGGTTTTGTAATCTTATGTACAATCAAAATCTGCCACACTTCTCCCCCCTTTTAAATGTGGTCGCCCTCTAACACCACAACCCAGATTCTAAATCCCCTGTCATCACAGGGAGGACCATGGACACCATTTGTAACAGGAAAGAAAGTAGTGTGATATATATTGATTCCACCGGGGATCAAACCTGCAGTCCAATACTTCCTTGTCGGACGCTCTACCACTGAGCTTAAGGGAAATTCCATCTAGCTCAAAGCTAAAAGGCAACCGTAATCATATGTACAATTAAAATCAGCCACATTATAATCATAAAGAATTTTGGTACAAGAATATTAAAAAATCTTCCACTTAAGTAAATTGTTCCTTCATTGTAAGACAAAGGGAACTGGAACTGTCAAAATCCAAGATGACTGCCTAGCGACCAGCCTCAAAATGAAACAAACACAACTTAGGAGCTATGAAAATCAACATATGAAATATATTTTATAAAGGTCTGTCTATAGGGCTTCTTGAGAAATTATAACATAATTGAACTTAACAACACTTGACATTGTTTTTAAAAAATGTTTGTCTAATTCTATTCGGAAAGTAAGTTTGCGATCATTTCCTTCATCGTACAATGACAACTTTTCCAATCCGCTTGTCGCCATGATCATGTGACCAGTTTCTGTGCCTGTCCAGTGATTTATTTTTTCCCCAGTGAGTTTGGGCACTATAAAGGTCTCTTACCTTGATATTTTTTATGTACATTTTCTAAATTCATTACAAAATAACATTTTAATTCCCCCAAATCATGCTATTTGTGTGTGATGTTTTTTCATTTTTGTCTCGCCACCACAAAGTAGGGGAAGCGATCGAGACTTAGCACAACAATGGCAACATTAGGTTTTTGCATTTTAGTTAGTTTCACTGAAAGTATAAGTGCTACACCAACCAAACTTGGACCATAGTTGCATACATCTCAACCCATGCATCAAATGCTGGATGCAGCATTACCTTTTATGTTTCATGATCCATTGACTTTGTAAGTATCTCAATCAACATCAAGTTTTTACGTTGAAGTTAGTTTCTCTGAAACTGTAAGGTCAAATAAAAATATTCTTGTTTTGCGTTTCCAGACTGACCCTATTTTTTCATGCAGACCCCCAATACATTTATTGGTTTTTCAGATTCACTGTAATGCATTTATTAGCCGTTTAATCGTTCAAAGTGTACATATAATTTGTTATGCATTTTATTACTGGGGTCAGTGTCAAGAGTTTTTTTGAAGATAAGTAGCCATAGATAATTGTGGTAATGATATAGGTTTGGATCTGTAGATTAGTGTGACTGTCTGTAGTCTAGGTGGGGGAGGTCCGGTCTGTAATGTCAGTGTTTGTCCCATTTTTTTTTTTCATTTTTTCAACAAAGATTGTATCGAAACCTAACCGATACCACAATGAAACATGGTTATTGAAATTTTAACTTCCTAGAATGCGTCTTTTTACCTGATAGACCAATATTGCAGTCACGCTGTTGCACAACACATCTTCAAGATGATATTGGTCTCCAATATAACCCACGTTGGCGTTGGCTTAGCTTTTGACCTAACAACACAGTCTGATACACGAACCGGATGTATCTACGATGAGAACCTTATACAATAATATATGAAATATAGGAATTAATAAACACATATTTTTAACTTAATATACAAACAATAAAAAGAATACTGATTTACTAATGAATTCGACCTCGAAAACTACTATGGCACCTGTCTGCTTTGGCGTAGTAATATTTGTTGTCGTAAAATTAACCTAAGCTTAAAGCCGGTCTCGGTGAAACGAAAATCCGCCATGAATAAATTTAATAACTTAGGCAAGTTTTTGTGTTTATTTATTTGTTTCATATTAAGGATATCATTTTTTAATCCTGACGCAAGTCTTTTATCGGACATGAATTACGTTTACTCGTTAATTGCTGATAAAAAAAACCCGGAATAATACATTCCGGAATTGAATAATGAAATGTTCTCATTATTAGAAGTTACTTTGTCCTTGTCCTTGAGGAGGTATCCAGAGAGGTTAGAAGATGCTTTCTAAAATACTTGAGGGGATCAATCAAGCTGGAAAATACGATCCTCTTTATAACCCACGGGTGCATGGTCCATACGACCCATCACGATTTTATGGAAAAGGTAATATTTGAATAATCTTGTCTCAATATTCATGTCATTGATTTACCTCGATTCTGTTTGCCGGATAGTGAGCTTGCATGCTCGTGTTAACATGTTGGCCCTATAAATCTTCTGGAGAAGTGGGAACACAATTGGTTAATGTCCTTCAACCCCCTGATAAATGTGAAATTCTACACATCTCAAAGAAAAGACTGACAAACAAATTTAATTACATTCTCCATTGACAAATTCTAAAGCAAGCAGATTCGGCTAAACAGGTTGGGCACAACGGCGCATAACGTTACTGTATCATAAGTGTAACGGGTAATAATTTTATTACTGAAAAGGGTAATAAAGTGAATTAAAAACACAAAGTTCTTTTACACATTATGAGCAAAAAAGGGCGTCATTCTTTCAACATAATCAACATAAAAATACAGCGAGGTACAATTGTGTACAAAAAAATGTAAATTCAGTGGTCTAAATTTTTGTGAAAATGACATTGTATCACCTCCATTTCTTATATAGTGTGTTGTTGAGTAGCTATAAATAGCACCCAGAAAAAAACCATGCTCACCCGTCACATTTGCACTGGAAAGTCACATTGACTACACAGTGAAGTCAATGGAGAACAAAGTCAGTGATATGGTTTGTCCTTTTCACAAAAAGGGAGAGATCAAAATAGTGTTTGAAAGAACTTCGTGTGTTTTTATTTCACTTTATTCCCCATTTCAGTAATAAAACTGATACTCAAATGGGTAACTGTTACCCAAATGCAGGATTATTACCCATGTGTGCCGTTGTGCCCAACCTGCAAAATACCTGGGCTTAACTATCTCTACAAACTTTTCATGGAACACCAACATTAATTACATTACCAACAAGGCAAATTCATCGCTAAGACTCATTCGGGAGAAATGTTAACACCACCAATGTAAAAACAAAAGAGTTAGCTTATTGAATACTGTACTGGCCCAATCTGGGATCCCTGGCAGGCAAATCTTACCCATAAGGTTGAAATAGTGCAGAGAAGAGCCGCCAGGTACACCCTTGGGTGCTATAACTACACCAGTAGTGTTACAGAAATGCTCCAAACCCTAAACTGGCATATGATGGCAACCTCCATTCTCCAACGAACCCGACAACACAAATTTCAGATTCCACACAGCTCCACAAATTATCATGCAAATTCATTCTTTCCTAGAGCAATTCATACCTGCAACAGCCTCCCAACCGTCATCGCCGACAGTGCAGACCTCTCAACCCTGAAGGCAAATTTCCTTTCTCACAAATTCTAAGCGTACATGTTTTTATCGTATAGTTCTAAAAAATAAATTTTAAAAAAAAGTTTTTTACCGATCCTTCTGACGCCTCTAAATAAAATGATGTTCAGTATCCTGTTTAAGTTGAAGTCATCCTACATTCATCAGTACCAATCCGCCCCTCCCAACCATCCCCAACCCCTCTCCAGGCCATACAACTAGCACCCGATACAGCCCATAAATCTATCAGCACAACTCTTTTGATACCCATCACTTTCAATCTCCAACCCCTCCCACTCCCACATCAATGTTATAACCAAATTATAACACTAACACACACACACCTCCCTTTTTTTATATCCCTCATACTAATAATCACACCATACACTTAAATTCATAAAATGTCGGAACGATGAACAGAATTTAGTGAAAGACAAGACAAGTTTTTTTAAGAAAGAGGACATTAGTACAGTACAGTCAGCTATATTTTCAGTGACGAATGATGAGGAGAGGATTACATTGAATGGACAACAGAAAAAACAGCCCCTGCATGACTCTAACCACTAACACACAGTCCGTCAGATGGGACTATAAAAGGTGTACCATGTGAGAACTGTCCAATCTCGCACAGAAAAGATCCCTCCAGAGTTTTTCGAAAAAGAGTAGGCTAGTAGCGCCGACACAGAGGATAGGGTTAGATTTGTTTTCGGCTCAGTACCTCACTTCCGGTCCAGACTTGGTGATGCTATACGACTAGTGTTAGGTTGAAGCAAATATTAGGCATAGGAGCCGTCTTACAAAAACTAGACTTGTACAGTAAATACTTTACATATAGGCTGGACAGCTCCTTCTCTAACCTGTCTCCCTCTTCTATCCCTTCACTCCATACTTTATCCCTTATACTCATTTATGTACAAAATGGTGGCACATCATGAGTACTAGTCTACTCGTTACTCATTTATTTGTTACCAGTACTGCCATAAAAATAGATTAGTTTGAGCAAGTTTTGCAAGGCTTTTATTGCAACACTGATACCAAAGTTGATCATGATCAATGATTACGTAATTTCAGTACTCTAATTTTGTATTCGAACAATCCCAAATGTGGGTATGCAGGGATCAAACTAAATACAGAAAATTATTGTTTTTATTGTGCAAAAAGCTGGTTTGAATTATCCTCCTATTCGAACTGACCAGAGGTTTACCGTAAGTTGTGTCGTCCGACTGGGGCAAAGGAGGCCAGGTATATTAATTAAAAAAAGAGTTAAATACATGTACATCCATCACTGCTATTAAATAGTAAATAATTTATGATATAATAATTGCAAAAAGGTAGAGAAAACAAGGCTTAAATATTTCATGAAAAAATCATATTATTTTGAAAAATCTGTTTTCGGTCTGTACATGTTCATAATTTGCATTTTACATGGGGCTAGTAGAAAATATTTACGGGCAGGTGGATTTCTAAGGTCTACTTTGCCTGGGGCAAATGCTATGAATTATTATTTTACGCCCCTGGTCCAATCATTAAAATATATTGATATAACTTTGTGTTATTTTGCTAATAATTTTATCTAAGAGACGTTCATATGATGAGAAAAGGTACTTCAGTATTTGACAATGACTGGTAGATTACCATTTGAGAAGAGAACGTTCCTTTTCCTATCTCCTGCAGACGAACAATGATGATAGCGATCGTAACATTTGTAAACAAATCAGGTTATGCATTTTGGGTCAGGTACTTGATATGACATTTATTATTGCGAATTAAGTTCACCCATTCGAAATTGAGTTGGAACTGAATACTTTATGTCCCACCATTCCTTCGCTGAAAAAGAAAGTGGTTTCATTCAAGTGACCGCCATTTTCCGTACTTCTGGATTTCGTCGGTTATAAATTTAACCGTACGTACATAACACCGCACTGACCATGATTGTATGTATAATCTTAAGAATTTCAGTTCTTCATGACAAACCTACAAAAACGATATTCTTCATGACAAAGTTTCAAAATTGATCTTTCATGTGCTAAATCGATTACCAAATCAACCTCATGTCCAGCTCGATTTATTCAATGTTTCCGGTTATTGGTATACACCACTAATAAGTACAACCGTCCTTCTTGATCTTCACTTGCATTTGTTATAAACACAGCTTCTTTCCTTCATTCAATTGTAATCAGAAGTGTTAAACCGATCAATGATCAATTGCATAATCAGTTAATAAATGTATGGGACTGAATAACCAAATAAAATGAGAACAATAAACCATACCATCAATGAACAGAGTAATTCACTAGACATTAAGTTTATAATGAATGGATATCAAGCAACTTTTATGCATTTTTATCAATCATGTAGTAAAATCATAAGAATATATGACTTTCAAAGAATACTTAACATGGAAGACATTTAAATACTTTGATTTCAATGATGAACTGATTATATCGATTATGGAAGTAATCATCAATAAATGGAACCAGAAAGGGAAAACCGATCAATTTTGGATTATAATGGATAGTCAGCACTAATTAATACATTTAAGAAAAAAAAAATTTAGCCTGTGTATCGTCCAATAAGAATAACATTCTATCTCATGTATTCATTTTACAACAAGTAACTTACATTAATCACTCTTGTTGGCCCGGATGTTAGTGTGTGGGGGTCTTAGTCGGGGAGGAAACTGGAGTACCCGGGGAAAACCCACGTGGTCGGGGCAGGTGACCCCAACCTTTTCACGTCCAATCGGGGAATTGAACCCCGGCCGCCTTGGTGAAAGGCAAGTGCGCTTTCCACTGCACCACCAGACCATCTTATGTATATGATCTCAATGTTCAATATCTGTGAGCAGAAGTCTGGATTTTCAAATTTTCTCAGATTTAGCGGATTCTCACGTATAGTTTGAAACATCAAACTTTGACTGTACTTGGTCAGTAGGTAAAATGTACCTTGCATTGAACTATACAAAATGTCCTCAAATAAACAAACTTTGACCTACTTTGGCATATGACATTAATGTTTAAGTTAATGTACATTACAATGTTTAAGTTAATGCACATTGCAATGTTTGAGTTAATGTACATTACAATGTTAAGTTATATCAGTGTACAAGGTTCTCATTTAGGATTTCCAACATGGGACTGAGTAAAAGTACCTTTTAGGAAATTGAAGAGCAAAGAAGATAAAAGATCTTTTGTAGATATGAAAATTATATATATCAAAAGATCTTTTCATGGTGGACAACAATATCCTTCTAGGATCTCTTCATGTTTATTTTTCATTTTCGCAATGTTTTTATATAATTATTTTTCTTTCCAGCCGACAAACCTTTTCTAGATGTCCGTGTTGGTGAGCTAGGGCAATGGATGAAGAACAGGAATAAAACTCCTTATGGATTTGTTAGTGCTGTTTCAAGAGGTAATTCTACATAGGCTGATGACTTAACCTGGTGGTGAAATGTGGGAGGTGCAAAGGTTTCAGGTTTTATGTGAAAAATCTTATTTAAAATAAGATGCATATATATATGGATAAACAGACTTAAAATGATTGAGAAACAGATTTCATTACGGATGATCAAATTATGAAAACAGAGATTTTATTTTAGCTCACCTGGACCAAGCAGCCAAGTGAGCTTAGTTTTCTTTGTCTGACATAAATTAAATTTTTATCATTGCAGGTTATTGGGCGTTCAAGCTGAAATATATCGGCTGCAAAAATAGTAATGCATGTGCTATTCTGATCCCTGTCTTCATAGTTGCCGCGATCAATGCTCAAGAACACTTTCATCATGTTTGTAAGTATGATGAATACAAATGCTTTTCACTTTCGCTAGCCATTACCGTGAAACCTCGTTTACCCTCTTTTGAAAAAATGATAAAAAATCCCAGGGTAATGCTTTTCACTTTCGCTAGCCATTACCGTGAAACCTTGTTTACCCTCTTTTGAAAAAATGATAAAAATCCCAGGGTAATGATACTTGGCCAGTATCATGCTGGGATGAAGGGCTGTACAGTTTGTTCAAATGAAAACCCTTTACCAAATTTATGGTCTGACCAAGGGGTTAAATGTTCAAAAAATCTTAAAACCTTTTTCTTCTTAATAACCAAAAGACTCCAGGTGATGATATTTTCCTTTAGCTTAATTTAGCCCATTTAAATATATTTGACCTTGGTCCGCAGTGTGAGATTAATACTAGGTGAGTGATACAGGCCCTATGGGCCTCTTGTTTACTTACCGGTAATATTAATCCTATTTATTCATCGAATAGGTATCACACTTAACATACCTATATCTATCTTATCTGTGTATCGCAACTACTTGGTACCACCTAAAGCCTAGTCTAAATTGTTCCTTGGTTCATTATTTACTCAGCATTTGTTAGTAATTTAATACTTATTAGGTCACCTGATCAAGACAGAGTTTTGTGTGATCTATAATTACAAATATATAGTAAACAGGAGGATGGGGGCTAATGTAACGCGCCAGCATCCCTCTTCAGTGTTAGATCACCACAGTCATGAAATGTTTTACCCATAATAAGTTTGAGGCATTTATATAAAACATTTCTCAACTTCATAGTAACCCTAATTTTTATGGTTACCACATCAAAAAATGATGGTCAGAATAACAATATCAGGTTAGTAATGTACAACAGGTTAAGATATATGTATTTCTATGGATAGTTATATTAATTACGAGCTATGATGTTCTCCAACAGCTCTTATTTTGAATTTCGTAATTTAAAAAACCAGAAAATTGGTCTCTATAAAAATGGTATTGTCAAGGACTTGTTCTTTGAATATCAGGTTAGTAATGTACAACAAGTTAATATGTGTATTTCAATTGATAGTAACGAGCTATGATGCTATCCAACAGCTCTTAATTTGAATTTCATAAAAATAACAAAATTGCAATTGATCTCAATGAAAATGGTCTCTTCTGAATCAATAAACAAAAATGTAAGTAATGCTATCTGTGTTTTCAGCACCATTATTATTTTCCTTTTTGTTTTGTGTTTGCAGTTGACAAAACAAAGTATCATTGATGCTGGAGTGTTGAGGAACATTTTTTGGATGGTTGGACTATAGGCCAGATATATATAGACACTTCTTGATATGTTTTGTAACTTAAGAAATAATAAAAGGTTTTGAATGGATTGATCCCGAAGTTGTTTTTTGCTTGTGATTTTGATTCCATTATATTGTTATAGCCTCAATTATCCCTACAAGTATGTTTGTGTATTGTCTTTGTTATACAAATGACTCTTACAAAAAAAAGAAAATGTATGATAGACAAAGAAGGGGGCAATTTGGCTATATTGCTGTAAGCGACATCTCCTCTGGAACTAAGAGATGAATATCAACCATATTTGGCTGGAAGCATCCCTAGGTGGTGTGGATTCAAAATTGTACAAATGGTTGGGCTGACCCCCCAGGGGGCTGAGAGGCGGGGCCAAAAGGGGGCATTTTGGCTATATTGTTACAAACGACTTCTGTAGAATCAGGAGCATTCATGGGAGGCAGGGATTCAAAATTGTACAAATGGTGTGGATGACCCCCGTGGCGGCTGAGGGGCGGGGACAAAAAGGGTTATTTAGCTATATTACTTTAAGTGACTTCTCTGGAACTAAGAGATAGATATCAACCATTTTTGACTGAAAGCATCCCTAGGTGGTGTGGATTCAAAATTGTACAAATGGTTTGGCTGACGGCTGGGCCAAAAGGGGGCAATTTGGCTATATTGCTATAAATGACTTCTTCCGTAGAACTATACCATGGATATTGATCATATTTGGTTGGAAGCATTCCTGGGAGGCAGGGATTCAAAATTGTACAAATGGTGGGGCCAAAAAAAAATTATTACTTGGAAATGATTGAGATCCCCACCATATAACCATATATACAACTGCTGAGTATAAAGAGAGGAATGCACATTTGCTTCCAGGATAGCTCTAGGGTCTAGCCCCACCCTTGGAGACTTAACCCCTGGGTCATAACTTTGAAACAGTCAAGATCCCCACCCCAAAACTATATATACAATTGTTGGGCATAAAGAGACGTATGCAGTCATGATATTAGAATTGACCCTAGGGTCTGCCCCACCCTTGCAGACATAACCCCTGGGTCATAACTTTGAAACAGTTGAGATCCCCAACCCAAAACCATATATACAAATGCTGGGCAAAAAGAGACAAATGCAGTCATGATATTAGAATTGATCCTGGGGTCTGACCAAAACCCTAGGGACCTAGTTTCTGAGTCACAGCTTGGAAACAGTTGAGATCCCCACCCCATAACCATACATAAAATTGCAGGGCATAAAAAATCAAATACAGATATGTTACAAGGATTTGCCTTGGGGTCTGGCATATTCCCTTGGATCTCATTTGGAGAATATTTTGCTATGATTGCTTAGGTATCCAGGTGAGCGATACAGGCCCTTTGGGCCTTTTATTATTCATGCCAAACTGATAAATCTCGATCCGAAAATTATGAAACGAAGTTATTTTGTTCCTGTTGGCCTGGAAGTATACGTAGGACCTTTTGTATTACAAAAAGACTCGTGAAATGTGAAGCATGCTCACCCTTGCGGTACTCGTCTTCAACATACTACCCATAACCCACTTCATAAACGTATTCAACTGAATTATCACATTTGTAATTACAACAGTAGTTTAAAGGATGTAGGTGACCCCGTACCTCGAGCCTCGGCCACATTTGTGAAAATCGGTGCGTGATCAACTGCACAACCCGACCATTCTCTAATAATGGACCCAGTCTAGTTCCGCAACAAAGGTGTACTACGCCCCTTTTCAGGGGAAGTACAAGACGGAAACATACAGGAATTGTGTACCGTAGTACAACAACGAAGAATAAATGTTTTGTTAGAGTATTCGAAAAAAAGGAATACCAAACTGTCAACAAAACTACTAGTCGAACACAAAATGGATAGAAATAGCATATTAATTGGATTATACCCATCTTTGGAAACCCCTTGTTGTTTGTCAATCGAATGGCGACATATATCACGGAAATCCTGCTATTCCGAGCAAACTCTTGAATGGCGAAAAACTGCGACGTGTAATCAACGTTGGTTGGGGGGCAGGGATGTTACTATCCAGAAAGGGGAAGTTCAGGATTTAAAAATAAATAATCGTACAGCTTAGTAAAAGGGTGTACTTGTTGGTCATGTGAGTGAAGATCGGGAAAAGCTGCTGAACTGGAAGAGTTTGTAGCGTCTTTGATTTCATACTCGTGATGGTAAACGTTCGAAGTGATCGATGGATTTCTTGATATTAAAAGACAGGACATCGCCGGTGTACGATTTTGAATGTGAAACTCTAGGACTTGACTAGGTTTTTGTTACCAATCTTTATAAGCTTTGAACAAATTTTGCCAACCTGGAACCCAATCACCTTCACGATTTCATCCTTGGTTTTTTTCAAGCGTGTTCTGTTTTTCACAAAATATGCTTAAAATATTTATAAAATGGTACAAGGTATGGTTAATAGTGTAAAAGTCGAACTTTCTGGTAAAACATTTTGAGGGAAAGATATTCAAGATTGATCACACGAATTTTTTTTATTCTTCTACACCCATTAATCCCACTTCTCGATTATACAGTCTCACACTACGACTATAACCCCTATTTAGTGGTAATAAGAAGCTTTGTAACGTGGATAATAATTAGATTGCAAGCTTATGGGGATGGGAAGCAAACGCATACTGAAGGAGGAGCTAGCATTCTAAGATGTTTAGATAACTTTTGTTATGAGATATTACCGATGTACATTTTTACTGTGGTTTGACTACATTCTAACCATGAACCAATTTATTGAAAATCTTACATTTAAAATATTTTAAAAGCACGAAAATAGGTCCGTTTTGCCAAAGTCCGAAGCGATTATTTTTCCTACAAGAAACCCCATAGTGCAGTAATTTGGTGTCGTGAATTATTTAAATAGTTTTGTTTTACTGGTTTATTTTTCCACATTAAGAATTTAGATGTTGGCTCTCGCAGTTATTCCAACGAGATGCACATAACAACATTATATAACTGTCTTGTTTTTAAGCCATTTTCGATATATTTGAAATTTGGTCTTGATAATGGTATCGTTCTGGTCGCGTATATATTTCAAAACAATTTCCCTTGTTTTCCCCAGTTAGCTTAGATCGTTATAAGACAAGAGAGAATACAGTACTTCACAGTTTTATATGGAATAGTTATTTTTTAGAAAACGACCCCCTCCCCCTGTTAATAAAATTCATATCAATTTACCAGAACAACGTAGTGTTTTATTTTGGAAAGGTTGACAAGGTAGATACTTACATTAAAGTAACAACAACTTAATCGTTGTTTTCTTAACAGTATTTGTTGCGTGAAGTATTTTTTTATGATAAATATATCCCCAATTAAAAAACCCACTAATATGTAAAAATATTTCCCGGAGATCATTGAACGCGGTGTGCTTGGTTGACAGATCCATAAGGACATGGCATTTTGTTACAGCTATATTTGGACCTAAACTTAGATGTTTATGGTAATTTTACACGTTTCAGGGGTTTATATCAACTTAATGATGTACCCAACTCCCCGATAAAGATATATACGAGGAGGGGCATTTTTGCCGAAAGTTGATCTTAACCCCTAAAACGTGTAAATTACACTGAACACCTTAGTTTTGGTCCAAATACAGCTGTAACAAATTCTCCATGTCCCTGTGAGAGACCAAGACTGAGGAAGGGGGATGAGGGTGTACAGTTATATAGACTTGTGAATCTGCTATAAACATGTTGACGTACGTGTCACTGGTGATATCTACGTGTCCACATCAGTTTACAGTGTTTATCACTGCACTACTCATCTCGATATCATTACGAGTAACCGGTACGATGTTATCTATCCAAGATAACCGACGTACGGCAAATTACAGTGAACTTTTTAGACACAGAAGTAAATATAAATAAGATTTAGCGTGATCTTTCCATCGATACCAATGCCAATCCAGTACAGCTGTGTAGTGTGTCGTACTACAGTCCTGTGTAGCTACCAAACAGCTCCCGGACCATTCGAGAAACTCTTGACGTCCCGTTTGCCGGAAATTGCCTCCTACAAAAGAGGAAAGAAACCCCTCCAAGCCGGCAGGTGAGTCACACAAATTGTACTGGTCACTTCAGGTAAGTCACTAACATGTTCCTATATTTACAGGTTTGAGGTTTGTAACTAACAATGTACAGATACTGACAGCTAACTCACTAACAAAGTACCGACACTGACAGCTAAGTCACTAACAATGTACCTATACTGTCAGGTAAGTAACTAACAATGTAGCGATACTGACAGCTAAGTCACCAACAATGTACCGATACTGACAGCTAACTCGCTAACAATGTACTGACACTGACAGCTAAGTCACTAACAATGTACCTATACTGACAGCTAAGTCACCAACAATGTACCGACACTGACGGCTAAGTCACTAACAATGTACCGATACTGACGGCTAAGTCACTAACAATGTACCGATACTGACAGCTAGGTCACTAACAATGTACCGACACTGACAACTAAGTCACTAACAATGTACCGATACTGACAGCTAAGTCACTAACAATGTACCGATACTGACAGGTAAGTCACTAACAATGTACCGATACTGACAGCTAAGTCACTAACAATGTACCGACACTGACAGCTAAGTCATTAACAATGTACCTATACTGACAGCTAAGTCACCAACAATGTACCGACACTGACAGCTAAGTCACTAACAATGTACCGATACTGACAGCTAAGTCACTAACAATGTACCGACACTGACAGCTAAGTCACTAACAATGTACCGATACTGACAGCTAAGTCACTAACAATGTACCGACACTGACAGCTAAGTCACTAACAATGTACCGATACTGACAGCTAAGTCACTAACAATGTACCGACACTGACAGCTAAGTCACTAACAATGTACCGATACTGACAGCTAAGTCACTAACAATGTACCGATACTGACAGCTAGGTCACTAACAATGTACCGATACTGTCAGCTAAGTCACTAACAATGTACCGTTACTGACAGGTAAGTCACTAACAATGTACCGATACTGACAGCTAGGTCACTAACAATGTAACGATACTGACAGGTAAGTCACTAACAATGTACCGATACTGTCAGCTAAGTCACTAACAATGTACCGATACTGACAGCTACGTCACTAACAATGTACCGATACTGACAGGTTAGTCACTAACAATGTACCGACACTGACAGCTTAGTCACTACACAATGTACCGAGACTGACAGCTAAGTCACTACACAATGTACCGATACTGACAGGATAGTCACTAACAATGTACCGATACTGTTAGCTAAGTCACTAACAATGTACCGTTACTGACAGGTAAGACACTAACAATGTACCGATACTGACAGATAAGTCACTTACAATGTACCGATACTGACAGCTAAATCACTAACAATGTACCGATACTGGCAGCTAAGTTACTAACAATGTACCGACACTGACAGCTAAGTCACTAATAATGTACCGACACTGACAGGTTAGACACTAACAATATACCGATACTGACAGGTTAGTCACTAACAATGTACCGACACTGACACTTAAATCACTAACAATATACCGATACTGACAGGTTAGTCACTAACAATGTACCGAAATTCACAGCTAGGTCACTAACAATGTACCGACACTGACAGCTAAGACACTAATAATGTACCGACACTGACAGCTAAGACACTAATAATGTACCGATACGGACATCTAAGTCACTAACAATGTACCGACACTGACAGCTTAGTCACTACACAATGTACCGACACTGACAGCTAAGTCACTACACAATGTACCGATACTGACAGGTTAGTCACTAACAATGTACCGATACTGACAGCTAAGTCACTAACAATGTACCGACACTGACAGCTAAGACACTAATAATGTACCGATACGGACATCTAAGTCACTAACAATGTACCGATACTGACAGCTAAGTCACTAACAACGTACGGACGCTCACAGGTTAGTCACTTACAATGTCCCGATACTGACAGGTTAGACACTAACAATATACCGAGACTGACAGGTTAGTCCCTTACAATGTACCGATACTGCCAGCTAGGTCACTAACAATGTACAGATACTGACAGCTAAGACACTAACAATTTACCGACACTGACAGGTTAGTCACTAAACTAACAATATACCGATGCTGACAGGTTAGTCACTAAACTAACAATATACCGATGCTGACAGGTTAGTCACTAAACTAACAATATACCGATACTGACAGGTTAGTCACTAACAATGTACCGATACTAACAGCTAAGTCACTTACAAT